TAAATATTTGGTTTTCTTGTTCGTTCAAGGATATAACGCCATGTTAACGGACACACTCTGAATTTCCATGTCTATTAATATCAACTAGGGCTAAGTCCGCGCGATGCGCGGGTATTACAAAGTTTTGTTACTTATATTTTAATTGTCATTTAAATTTTGTAAATATTTTCTCTTATATTTTTTCAAATATGTTAACGCGGTAGAAATATAAATGTATATTGCTTCTTGCCTAAGACTTTTAACCTATACCTAAAAATTTGAACCATACAGACCCAAAATACTCTTACCCAATTGATTTTAGGTATATAGTAAATCACTCATTAAATAAATATTTGATACCCATGGAAATTAGGTAATAGCTGAATGAAATCAGATACCCCATATTATCCGAATTATGGATTATTATGACATTATAAATATATTTTTTAATAAGATTTCTAATATAATTTTTCAAAAAGATATTTTCTGGTCAATTTCAATCGGATCTCATATTACTTGCATCCAAATTGAATGAAAAATAAGAATATAAAAGTTGAAATATGAGCTATGTATGATTATTGTATAAGCATTATAAAACGTTCTAATGTAACATCATATAGTTAATACATTTTACTTATGGCGTCATCTTCATATATTACAATGGCATTTCCATATATATATATAGACAATGTGCATCTAATTTATCTTACACTTATCTCTCTCCAAACAAGCAAAGAACAAAAGTACAGAAGAAACCAAAAAACTCTCTCGTGTCTTTGCCACGTAGATATGGACGTCGAACATCACAAGTCCGGCTACATCGGTAGACCAACGGTGGATATTCCACCAATAACAACAAATTCTGGAATTTAAGAGAAGAACACCTGTCCACTTAAGAAAAAAAAGGTCAAAAAAAATTTGTTTTACGTAATTTGCATTGAAGTCAAGAACGTTTCATCTTCCTCGAGTTCTACCATTCTTCTTCCCTCTTCGTTCCGTCTCCCCAGATCCAGAAAATTTGCAAACTTGCTTCCGTCACTCTGATACAATTTGCAAAATTTTGAGTGACGTTGTCGTAGCTGTTGTCTTCTTCCTGCTTAACGACAGACCCAGATTTCACCATAATTTTGATTCATTAAATAAACGTCTTCACCTTTGATCAGCATCACTAAAACACAAGAACCCATCAAAGCTAACACCAAGTAGATAAAAAAATTTAACTATTTGACCCGTGAGAGTGACCCGTTCAATTCTTTTTTCTTTTTTTTTTCTTTTTTTTTACAACAGCCTAAGTTCCTAAAACGGTTCGGGAAGCAAAACCGGTGGAACTGAATTTTTGTCCGCCTTTGTGTTCTTTGTCTTTGGAATGTGGGTCCCGTTCAGTTCTTTAAACAAATAATTTTTTTTTTTTTTTTTCTATTTATTCAAAGATTTGAAAACATGATACGACTTGTTTTTAAAGATGTATATTTATAGTAGTGATTGAAACTTTCTGTTAATGATACAAATGATGTGGGACAAAAATCTGTATTCCTTCCCTTTTTTTATTTTGTCCCACATCGAAACATACACACAATAGAAGCTAACTTTTTCTTTATAAATAGGAAATGTGACTTCCTTTCATTTGCACTATATTGGACTAAATTCTAATGCCCATTACTTTTGGGAATAGAATTCTAAGCCCAAAACAAAATTAAAAATTTATGTTTTATACTTGGTTAAGGCGGGTCGGGTCGTGGGTAAGGCAAAAGTCCCGGGTACCCGATCATACTCAGCTTAAAGATGAAGAGTTAAAAACATTTGTGTTTTTTTTTTTTTGATGAAGAGATGCAGGTGTCACTCAACTGGAGAGAGTTATCCTCTCATTATATATAAGATTCTTGACTCCTTGCTATCTCGAAATATAATAATTACTTATGTTACACCTTGAAAAATAGTACGTAGAGGTTAAAATTAAGGATACTTCATCAATTCTATTTTTCTATGTTATTTACAATCCTACCGGTAGTAATTTGTAAACATTAGTTATTAGATAGATGGAGAGCCAGATTAATACTTCCTCCGTTTCAAATTAGTTGTCGTTTTGGGAAAATATATTTGCAAATATTTGGACGTATTTGGACGTGTTTTGCATTGCAGATATATCCAAATAATTGCAAATACATTTTTCCAAAACGACAACTAATTTGAAACGGAGAGAGTATGATGAAGAAAAATAATAAATCATTTAATTAAAAAACCATACCAATAATAACAAACAGACAAAAGAAAACAAAAACTAAATAGTGATAGTAAAAGACAACTACCTTTTCTGTTTATAACTTTATCTTCAACAATTAGCTTCAATTGGTTGTATTAGCCCTACAAGCTGTCCGAATCATATCTTGTACACGACACAAAACATATAATCTTCTTGTTTTAAATCAATCTTTTCAAAACAGAAGTAGCTCTCTGTTTAACTAATCTTCACCTAACTCTTCTTTGAATTCTGATAAACATTTTAGCAATGTAATGAGCAATGTAATGACGTGCTATATATGGTTACCATAGATATTCATTATTGTGCTGTATAGTATTCGGATTTACATTAGCTAGAAGCATGTGTGGAGATTGTGGATGTTGTGATAGAATAAAAAGTATGTGGACCGAACTGGTTCAAATTTGCATCCTACAAAATCAAGACCATTTTGACCAATTTTATCAAATAATTTGAATCCTTTAACAAAGAAAAGTTTTGTAAAATAATTGCTGATATACAAGAGCAGTCCAAATTGCTTTACACATTCCAGAAAAAACAAATTCAGAAAAAAATATTTCATTTGTATTGTTCCCATCGAAAGTGTCTAGTCATGTCACACTGGTTATGCAAAGATGGGAAAGAAGAGGTTCCTTATCACTTTCCCTAATGAAATTCGCGAAACTCACACTAGTTGCATTGAATTCTTGTTTCTGCACATTTTCTCCTATTCTTACGCTTTGTACTGTTTATTAATGAAAGAGTGTCGTATTTTTGTTTCCTCAAGTGTGACTGTATTAATCACCTACTTACATGAGTACTCGTAGGGTAGGGATCAAGTAATCGTAAATTGAAGCTTTTTTAAACGTATATGTGCTATGTATATTGATTATTGAAGCTTTTTTAAGATTTATCAATTTTTTTTTGTTCCTTCTAGATTTCCTATAACTAGGTTAATTCAGTGTGCATGCGTTAACATGACGTTATATCCAAGCAATTCTAAAACTGAGGTAAACCTTTCCTAAGTTAAATTAAAGTCCATATTTTCAGTGAAGCAGTCTAGAAGCAATTCTAAAACATTGCAAATGGTTCATTGGCGTAATAAACAAAATATTAATTGATTAAACAGAGAATAAACTTTGGAAATAATAAACACTTTCTCCCAGGGCGGTAGGTGCAGAGGAATGATAAGATTTGGTATGGAGATCATGTAGCACACAAACTGTTCCACCATTTGACGACTGTGAAGCAATAACTTATTCTTTTCCATCATTGCTACCGGGAAAGGCACGAGAGAGAATCTAGCGAGAGGGAACCACTGAATCGTTCGGTGAGATCTATGGAGCACATTTTCTTCCATTTGTTGTTGTCCCCTGAGGAATCGAACGACCATATGACTTGTGTTGGCCATTTTTTCTCGGTAACGCACAAGCGGTCATCAAGGATGCACAAGCTGACGCACTCCCAGTCAGGTACATGGGGAAAGGGAGTTTTATATATTTCCGAGCTGAGCATCCGAATTGGAAAAAGGAAATATTTCCATTGAAGAAAAAGGAAATTCCGACACTTTTCCATCCTTAATTTCTCATAAATAAAGGATTAGCCCTAGAAATGCAGCTTTCTTATGCTCCAAGGAACAGTCAAATGGGAAGACGCCATGCTTCAAAATTGTCTCAGAAATCATATCGATTAGAGTCATTAATTACCATAGTTTCCGAGTTATCTTACGTTACTCTTTGTATAAATCCTTTTTAGTTCTGTATGGCATTTTTCCAAACCAAATAAAGACAGTCAGTCTCCATCAAATGTTTAAATGCTACGACAAGTTATTTAACGATTTTTTCAAAGCAAAGAAGATAGGGAACAAGAAACAAATTTTGGGAAATCTCAGAAATCATCTAAAAAAAAATGGAAACTAAATAACTAAGAATCAAATGAATAATCCAAACTATTAAAGGCTAAAACGAATAGAAATATCAGAAATATCTAAGAGGAAAAATGTAATTGAGCAAGAAACCACCTGACACTGCTCTCGACACCTGAGAGATCTGATGTAGTCAGAAACGAGGGAAGACGACGATCTTTAATGAAGAAGGACAAAAGCTCGACTTCCATACTTCCAATCTTCCATTAGTCAATGCTGACGAGTGACGAGTGACGCTGATAGACACTAAGCTCAGTTTTCGTTGTTTTTTATATTCCCGGCCTGATTTTTATATTAAACACGATTCCCACCATCATTTTTCTTATTCATATATTCCACTGTCTTAATATGATAAAGGGATTTCTCATAAGAAGTATAATTAAAAGATGTAGATGGTTTAAATTTTACTTGTCTACAACTATTTTTTTATCCAAAAGTGTTAAGAAAAACCATTATGATCTAATAATTGTTTTTATCTTGACCCTCCACTCAGTTTAACACCAATAATGTGTTATTCTACATATTCGCCATCACCATTATAATAACTCGGAAGCTATGGTGATGCTCAAATTGATATGGTTTTTTAATTCGCCAATTTTGGAATTTGGAGCATGGAGTCTTCCGGTTTGAAGTTGTCCCCAAAAAAAAAGGAGTCTTCCGGTTTGAATGTTCCTTAGAGCATAAGAAAGCTGCGTTTCTAGGGCTAATCCTTATTCATGAGAAAATAAGAAGTAGGAGAGAAAAGTGTCCGAATTTCCTTTTTTTCTTAAATTGAATTATTTCCTTTTCCCAATTCGAATACTCAGCTCGTGTGTATATATATGTTTATCTATAAAGCCTCAGATTATCTCGACAAATACAATGTTCAAAAGACATAGCTCGAATGTGGAATTGCTTCCACACGATGTTGTAGAGCTCATACTGGAGAGTGTTCCCGTGGAGCCTCTGGTGAGGTTCAAGCGTGTATCCAAGAGGTGGAAAACGACAATCGATTCCCGAAGTTTCCAGGAAAGACAGTTGATCCGTCGTAAGGAATCACGAGGTCCAGGTGATGTTCTTTTCGTGTACCTTCTTGATGCTGATGATAAAGCTCCAATTGTGCTAGGTTCTTCCATAATCCCAACGGTCAAGTTACCTTTTCCAAAGTTTACTGTTTGCCATAGCACTTGTGACGGTCTGATATGCCTCTACTGCTATGAGCACACGTCGAACATCGTGGTGAATCCCGCCACTCAATGGCATCGAAGTTTTCCTTTCTCTAGTGTTCAACAGTTCATCGCCGACACGTACTATGGAGAAGAACGTGTCGCCCCAACTTATAGGCTTGGATTTGGTAAAGACAAGATCAAGGGCACTTACAAGCCAGTTTGGCTATATAATTCTTTAGAATTCGGCCTAGATAATGTCACCACTTGTGAAGTTTTTGATTTTAGCAAAAATGCTTGGAGGTACGTTGTCCCTGCTTCTCCTTATGGGATTCTCTGTTTCCTGATGCCTGTGTATCTTGATGGGTCGCTTGATTGGCTCACCAACTGTAATGAAACCAAGGTCTTGTCTTTCGATCTTCACACAGAAACTTTCCAAGTCATCTCTAAAACTCCCTTTGCCCATGCACCTGACTGGGAGTACGTCAGCTTGTGTATTCTTGATAACCGCTTGTGCGTTACCGAGAAAAAATGGCCAACTCAAGTCATATGGTCGTTTGATTCTTCAGGGGGAAACAATAAGTGGAAGAAAATGTGTTCCATTGATCTCACCGAAACGATTCATTGGTTCCCGAGATACTCTCTCGTGCCTTTACCGGTAGCAATTATGGAAAAGAATAAGTTGTTGCTGCATGGTCGTGATCGTGACTACAATCAAGCATTCGTGCTATATGATCTCCATACCAAATCTTATGATTTCGTTACACCTACCACCCCGGGGGAGTGTATTTATTATTTCGAGAGTTTTTTCTCTGTTTAATCTAATTAACATTTTGTTTATTACGCCAATGAACCATTTGTAATATTTACGTTTTCTTCATTTTAGTTTGTCGACGGCTTGATTGTAGCAAAGATAAGAATATTTGGTTTTAGTAGCCTTGCATTTAAGATGCGTCTTAACTCTTTTGCAATCGGAGATCTTATAATCATACTCTCTCGCTAATACTTGCTTTCAAGTTTCAACTCAGGGGTAAAAGGTAGAATCAACTTATGATGGTTCTATTACTACATATGTAAGTTTAAGTTTAAATTTTATGAAAGCATTACCATAAGTTGATGGTTCCATTACTACATATCAACATATAAGATAGCATTATCAACAAATCACAAGTGTAAATGGAACCATCACAAGTTGTTAATGCTTTCTTACTTATGATGGTTCAATTACTACATACATGTAAGAAAGCATTATCAAAAAATGAAACCATCTCCATTGGTAATAAGATACAAAATACAAACCTAAACTTTTCTAAAACTTAAACTTAAATCTAATTATACAATGGGATTTTCAAAATAAAATTAAAAATAACAACACTATTTAATAGAATTAGATTTAAGTTTTAGAAAATAATTGACCAATAAAAATATGACATTTATCAATTGAGTGAAAAGGATTTTGGTCTCTAATTCATGTAATGTTTTCTTTTTGATCAATTCCATTAGAGTTTGGCCAAAAATAAACAGATGGTGGATATGATTGACAAATAAAGAAAAGATAGTGGAAAGTGGAAACTATCGCAGGTAATTTAAAAAATCAACAAAAAATATATTTTTAATACAATTTGAGCTGAAGTGTCCTCCCACTAATGGAAGTAGCAGCAATTTCATCGTCATCACTCACAAGCAAAACTCAAGCTTCTTCTTCCTTCTTCTTTAATGATCTTTGTCTTCCCTCGGTGAATCCGATCACTCCGCTCCTATATTCCCCAGCAATTAGATCCTCCTCTCTCGTCGTTACCAGGTTGTCTTTGTTACTCCATTACATTTTCCCTCTCTGCTATTTCCAGAACTTTCTGTTCAATTGAGCTTTTGTTCATCTTTAATATCTCTCACTTGAAGGATTAATATGACTATCGAATTGTTGATTTTGACTTCTGGGTATTACTAATTGAGTTCTAATCGATTGCTGTACTTGATAAATTTAATCTAAATCGGTTGTTAATGACTTCTGGAGAATGCTAAAAAACTTTTCCTTTCTTCTCTATAAAAATCCTTGCTTTGAATGATTTGCATGATGTGGTCCCAATCTTTAGCTCAGAAATGAAACAAAAATTATAACTTTCTTCTTTTTCCTTTAATTTGCTGGAGAAAAAAATGTACTTACTAGTAGAAACCACCTTGTAATGCAGAAGGAAGGGTAAAAAATCTATAGTTAGGATGACTGTAAGTGGAGATAGCTCTGAAACTGTAGAGATGGCTCCAAAAGGTATGATTTTTGAGCCGATCTTGGAGCAAGGAGTTTTCCGGTTTGACTGTTCTGTGGAGCATAAGAAAGCTGCGTTTCCAAGCGTTTCGTTTAAGAACAGCAAAGACCGGGAAGTGCCGATTATAAGTCACGATGTTCCATCATATGTTCCTGCATTTGACTGTATTCATGAGCAACAAGTTGTCACTTTTGAGGTTTAAGTCTTTCTCTTTCTTTTATTTTTATACAGCGTGACTTACAAATGTCTGTGTATATGTTCACTTAATGCTTAACTTGTGATTCAGTTTTCTCCTGGGACGTCGTTTTATGGGACTGGAGAAGTTGGTGGCCAGTTAGAGAGAACAGGGAAACGGGTGAGTCATTTCACTTTACATGCGCCTGTATATTTTTGTTCTCCGGATTCATATGGCTGATATGAAATGTTTTCAGGTTTTCACATGGAACAGTGATGCATGGGGATATGGCGCTGGAACCACTTCGCTGTACCAGTCACATCCATGGGTACTAGTTGTCCTACCAGCTGGAGAAACACTAGGTGTTCTTGCTGATACGACACGGAAGTGTGAGGTATATGAATGTCATATCTGGTGCCACCTCTCTTTTGTTGACTCACTTTGTAATGTGATCTGTCTTTTTCATTGTGTAACATATTTATCTTGCTCCCTAGATTGATCTAAGGAAAGACGGAGTCATAAGAATTATCTCCCCACCATCATATCCGATAATCACATTTGGTCCATTCTCCTCACCTTCTGCTGTCTTGGAGTCCTTATCACACGCCGTTGGTAATTTCTTAAACTGTGCTTCTTTGTGTTTTTCAAACTTCTTTGACATACATGCTTCTTTATGCAATTGCAAAAATTCATATTTCAAATGTTAACTTGGTTCCAAGACTGAAAGTGACATTTTCTGTTAGAAATTAATCCCAGTAAAAAGGATCCCTGTTAATGGATTTTATATGGTTTGAGAGTGGTGTTTGTTTTTTTTTTTTTAAATTTGTTCTCTCTTTCGCTTCTCCTTGGTAAAGATTGTTCTTCTTTTACTCAATTATAGTTTCTACTTACCAGGAACTGTATTTATGCCTCCAAAGTGGGCCTTAGGCTACCACCAATGTCGCTGGAGTTATATGTCTGACAAACGAGTAGCTGAGGTCAGTGTTCTTGTTCATATTCTGGCTGTTTGGTAAAGTTTCTAGTCGGTAGTTAAATTTTGGCCTATCTGTCATGTTTTTCATCACTGTGCTCTGATGATTGCAGATAGCTCAAACATTTCGTGACAAGAAGATTCCTGCTGACGTGATATGGATGGATATTGACTACATGGATGGCTTTCGTTGTTTCACATTCGATAAGGCATGTTAATTCCTCAAGTCCAAAGTGAATTTTCGTTAGAGATTACCATTTTTTACATAGACCAAGTTTTATAGCTTTTGACATTACAAGAAACTGTGGAATACTATGTTCAGGAGCATTTCCCGGATCCTAGTGCTTTGACAAAACATCTCCATAATAATGGTTTCAAAGCGATATGGATGCTTGATCCTGGAATAAAGCAGGAGGAAGGTTACTCTGTCTATGATAGTGGAAGTAAAAATGATGTTTGGATTAGACGAGCAGATGGGAAGCCTTTTGTTGGTATTTCATTTCCTTGTTATGATTTTTGTGCTGTCTCTGTTATGTAAAGTTGATATTTGTTCAGAAATATATGAAGTTTTATGTTTGGTTTCTTTAGGTGACGTATGGCCTGGACCTTGCGTTTTCCCTGACTATACAAATTCTGAAGCTCGCTCTTGGTGGGCTAATTTGGTGAAGGACTTTATTTCAAATGGTGTTGATGGTATATGGAACGATATGAATGAGCCTGCAGTTTTTAAAGTAATTTTTGTCCGCTTAGCTTCATTCTTTCTTTCTTTTTAGGCAGAATCTTTTATATAATTTTCATGTCGTCTTATTTGTCATTGTCCAGGTCGTGACAAAGACGATGCCTGAGAGCAATATTCACAGAGGAGATGATGAGCTTGGAGGTGTTCAAAACCACTCGCACTACCACAATGTAACTTTTCTTGTTCTACTCAAGTTTCTAGTTTACTCTATGCATGCCTGAAGTCATCCTAGTAATATAAATATGTAATGGGTCCTTGGATTTCTGGATTATCACCGTTCCAAAGTGGTATTATATATGTATACGACTACGACTTGTCTCTGTATGGTCCAATGTTATTGCTTTAAAATCATTTTTCTGCAGCTTCCCAATCATGAATGTCTATGTTTAGGGTCTCTAGGTAAATTAAATCTTACGAGGCAAAGAAGGACCTGTCCTTGATTCTCTTAATAACGTGGGAGATTTGGTCTAAAGTGACTCTGAAGTGACAAGTAATTGGTCTCTGAAAGTCGATGTGCTTTGCATACATAATATATCTTTTGTACCTGTGATAGTTGTCTTTGTGCATTTTGTTGGTACAATGCTAGGCACTTAAAGTTAACTTTGTCAAGATATATCCCTGTGTAGGTCTATGGGATGCTGATGGCAAGGTCAACTTATGAAGGGATGGAGCTAGCTGATAAGAATAAGCGACCTTTTGTATTGACAAGGGCTGGATTCATTGGTAGCCAAAGATATGCTGCAACTTGGACAGGAGATAACCTTTCAACATGGGAGCATCTACATATGTCTATATCCATGGTACTTCAGCTGGTAAGAATTTGATGAGCCTGCTCTGCATCGTTATCACAAAACTAAGACACTGAGCATGACTGTCATTTACGATAAGTGATGTTTATATGTTTTGGGCTCCTAATTTATCTTCTCAAGTTTTTTGAGGACCTAAGAATTTCTACTGATAAGTATTTGTTTTGGTTCACTTCTTTACATCAGAGATTGACTTCTATTCTCTTAAACTCTGTTGTTGCTTATAACCTATCATTTTCTACACTTCACTAGAGCTATCAACAGAAATGAGAAAAAGTTTGGATTTGCTGTATTCCTCTATTTAGCAAAGAACTATGTGAAAGGTTATGGTATTTCTTGCAGGTGCCAAAAATAACAATATGCAACACTTTTTAACTATTATACATTGAATTGCATTCAGGGGCTTAGCGGTCAGCCCTTATCAGGGCCAGATATTGGTGGCTTTGCTGGCAATGCAACTCCGCGGCTATTTGGACGTTGGATGGGCGTTGGAGCTATGTTCCCATTCTGTCGTGGCCATTCTGAGGCTGGCACTGATGACCATGAACCATGGTCCTTTGGAGAAGAGGTGGCTTTTTTGCTTGCAAATCTTATAAGACCTATTTCAGCATCGCAACTCATTTTGTGATTTCTTTTAATTAGTGTGAGGAAGTCTGTCGTGCCGCATTGAATAGGCGTTACCAACTCCTACCACATTTTTACACCCTGTTTTACATTGCTCATACAACTGGTGCTCCAGTTGCAGCCCCAATCTTTTTCGCTGGTAGGTTGGTGTAATATATTGTATTTCATATCTTGAACTTATGCAATGATATCTTATGTTCTCATTTTCTTTTTCTTGTCTTCGTATATGCAGATCCTAAAGATTCCCGGCTAAGGACTGTTGAAAATGCATTTCTTTTGGGTTCCCTTCTTATCCATGCAAGGTTTTCTTCTTCTCACTTGATGGATCTTCCATTTTTGCATGTTGATTTTCAAAATCATTGAGCTTGCAGATTTCACTCTGTTGTTATGCGAGTTGTGTTTACTTAATAAAGTGTTTCACTGCTATGTGACTAAGTTTTCGGTACAAATTTACAAATGATCAAATTTAGGAGTTTAAGAATGTTGAACTAGAACAATTTGCTGGGCATACTGACTGATAAGTAAGGAGGAATAGTCATGAGTCTAAAATCAAACATTTTTTTCTGATAAGCACAACTAAATAACATTGGTGCTACCATAAATCTTCAACATACAATCTCTCTCTCTCTCTCGCTCTCTCTTTTTGAAGGACAATATTCTTTATTCACCCTTTGAGAGTTGCTCTGTAGTTTATGAACTGCCAAACATATGTACTCATCAAGTTTGCATTGCTTTGTTTCCATCATTTTGTAGCACTTTTTCTAGTCAGGGAACACACGAGTTGCAACCCATATTTCCCAGAGGAACTTGGTTGAGGTTTGATTTTGAAGATTCACATCCGGTATGATTTTTGACACTTTCGATTTTCTTCTTCTCTCTTCTGCTGAGAAAAGCAGTTCGATTAAGTTAATGTTTCCATTCATGATGTCAGGATTTGCCAACATTATATTTACAAGGTGGATCCATCATTACACTCGGTCCTCCACATCTACATGTTGGGGAGTCTAGTCTGTCAGATGACTTGACCCTACTTGTGTCACTCGATGAAAATGGTAAGTTTAGCCTCTGTCTCAGACATGAGAAACAAGTAGACATTTGTAGCTTTTCGCTTATATTGTGAAAATATTTTTATCTTCCCTTTCTGCTTACATTGTCATTTTTTTTTCTATCAGGGAAAGCTATAGGCCTCCTATTTGAAGACGATGGAGATGGATATGGCTACACGAAAGGCAGCTATCTAATTACACACTACATCGCTGAGCGACAGTCTTCCATCGTTACTGTGAAGGTTTTAAAAACTGAAGGAGAGTGGCAGAGGCCAAAGCGCCGTGTTTATGTCCAGTTATTGCTTGGTGGAGGTGCAATGGTATTTTTCTTTCTCCTGTTAAACAGAGTGTATTCTAAAAGTTCAAAGCATTTAAATTTAGATAATGTTACAGCTTGATGCTTGGGGAATGGATGGAGAGATTATCCAGATTAAAGTGCCTTCTGAAATTGAAGTTTCAGAGTTAGTATCCACGAGCAGTGAGCGCTTTAAACTTCATATGGGTAAAGCAGTTAGCCCCTTTCTAATTATAGCTTTTCCTTAAAACATTTCATTTGATGAAAAAAGTCCATATGCATGAATTTGTGAACATAGCTATCATGAATTCATGACTACAGCTACAACTGGATTCTAACTTTCATATTGTCTTTCACGTGTATTGTTGAAATGTAGAAAGTACAAAACTGATACCTGAAAAGGAAGTGTTACCTGGACAAAAGGGAATGGAACTTTCAAAAGAACCAGTTGAGCTGAACAGTGGCGATTGGAAACTTAATATAGTTCCTTGGATTGGTGGACGAATATTGTCCATGACACATGTTCCTTCAGGTAATATAGTTTCAAGTACTAAACTGTTTGTCCATCTACTCTTTATGAATACGATACTGTCAATGTGGAGGAGGCTCATGATCATATACACAAGTCACTATCTTGTCAAGAATATGCAGAAGTTCTAATTTTCGATGGTTAAAATTTGCAGGAGTTCAGTGGCTTCATAGCAGGATAGATATAAATGGTTATGAAGAGTATAGTGGTACTGAGTACCGGTCAGCTGGATGCACTGAGGAATACAATATAATTGAGTGAGTTTACTTTCATGCCTTTTCCTCTCACACATGCGATGAATGTTGATATGAAGACACAGCGTTCTCTGCATCATATTTACTTATGTTACTGATTTTAATTGTTTCATCTCGAGTTGGAGAGATTTGGAACATGCAGGAGAGGAAGAGTCTCTTATACTAGAAGGTGATGTAGGTGGTGGACTGGTTCTTCGGCGTAAAATCACTATACCTAAAGACAATCCTAAAGTTTTTCGGATTGCCTCTAGCATTGAAGCACGTAGCGTTGGTGCTGGTTCTGGTGGATTTTCAAGGTTTGTATTTATAATCTTGTTGTGTAATCTTGCTGTATAATCTTCATTTTTTCTTGTGTTTGGAATATGATGGCTCTTTTGGTGCTTGGTGACGAAATGTTGCAGGCTGGTGTGCTTAAGAGTCCATCCAACTTTCACTCTCATGCATCCAACTGAATCGTTTATCTCGTTCACGTCGATTGATGGTACAAAGCATGAAGTTTGGCCAGACTCTGGAGAGCAGTTGTATGAAGGGAACAACCTCCCAAACGGTAAGTACCTGTACAACTACCAAGAAACATTTGAGCTTACAATCTTTTTGTTTTATTCATGTGTGTGGAAATTATCTTTTTTTCCCTTTGTTTTAGGTGAATGGATGCTGGTGGACAAGAGTCTCAATGTACAGTTGGTAAACAGATTCGATGATAGGCAGGTCTTCAAATGTATTGTCCATTGGGACTGTGGAACCGTTAATTTGGAGTTATGGTCTGAAGACCGACCTGTTTCTAAGGAATCTCCTTTGAAAATAGAGCATGAATATGAAGTCACAAATTTCCCATAAATGTATTTGCAAACAAAAAAAATTATGAATATCAACTCCTTCCTCCTATTCGCACAGTTTTACTAGACTAATTGGGTTGTCCATTATAAACCCATAATTAAGTGATCGTGCTTGCTTTTTTGGTATCATCTATATACATTGCATTTGAATTCACAAGCTTTTTGCATTACGAGAGGAGCACTGTCTACTTATAAATTATCCAAACAACACAATTGAGGTCTCTGTCAATGACAAAAAAAGCTATATCTAACTGTTGGTCGTTAAAAGCCATTGTGTCAATCTGATCCAACATGGACCCCTTTGTGCTTGAAGAAGTCCTTAGCCTCTGCAATATCCTGCATCCACCGCAATACACATAAGAAACACTTCATTAGCAAAGATTAAAGATATGTCAACAAAGAAATAGCACTGATTCCATGAGGACCAGATTTGGCAAACAAAGAGCTTGTCTGGAAAATACCTTGTGCAGCAGAAGTGCTTCTTGGGGACATGTAGGAAACTGCATCAGTCCGGTTCCAACCATTAATAAACCATAGCATCCGAGAGATACTATAAAGTAGATGGGTAGCTGTAAGAAATGAAAAAACCAAAGTCAGAACACGATCCTAATCTCAAAAAGAGCAAGAAACCAAAAAGAAGACATAGTTGTTGGTTACTCATACTCACCAACCATGTATGGCCTCGAGGAACAATCGCAGCCTGCAAAAGACCAATCCATAAGGCAGAGATTGCCACCAACAGGCTCAACATCTTTACTATATGCTTCATTTTTGTCCTTCAAAATAACAAGATTGATGTATAAAAGTGTCGAATATAGCCGCACAAAGGCAAAAGTTTCACAAAATGCAAGAGAACACAGAGAAGAGTAACTCAAGTTTACATGAGACTGAAAAAGCATGCGTGAAGAATAGCAAAAAAAAAAACATTTAGCATTGGTGAAACAAGAACAACGTTAAGCAAGATTATGCCATGGAGCCTGAGCAAACAACATAAATATGTAAATAGTAAAGCTATCGACAAACCAATATTTGACTAAAGCTATCAAGAAACCACGTTATGTAATTGTTGATTTTTGAAATGTAAAAGAGTAGAAGAACCTGAAACCATGTCGAGTATGAGCTCCTCTTGTATCTTCTCCACAGGCTGAAACCAAAATTCAAAATGAAAACCCAAGTTTACTAACATTTAAGCCACACAGATCCTTAGAGAAAGGAATGTAACACAAGACAAATAGAAGCATTGTTAACGAAAATGGCAAGAGAAGCATTGGAATGCATTCATAAGAGAAGACTGCTATTAAAAAAAAATTGGCAAGTGATTTGTCGAAACCAGCATATCTCAATCACACATGATATAGCAAAAGACGTACAAAAGAAAACCAACCTTCAATTGCTATATCTTTATAATGCACCAGAGTGATAGAGATCGAGAGGGAGAGATCGTGTTCTGAAGCCAAGGAGAAAGAGATGCAAGGAGACGAGAGAAATCAATCGTGGTTTCTGATTTTGGTAAAGTGAAAAATTTAAAATTGGTTAATTATCTCAACCCATCAAACCAATACTATAATTTTAACCATTTCAAGCCAACCAAACTGACCCATGGAATCCATTTGTATCCAAATTTTGAATCCCGTTTACTCATCCTTTGGTATGTACTTTATACAACTTTGTCATTCATTTGAGTTTTCTTTATTTATAATGTAAAAAAGATTTGTGACCTTTTGCAATAATGTCAGTGAGTAATTTATATAATCTAGCAATTTGGATCTCCATAGATTTCTATCGGACCTTTCTTCTTATTCTTGCGGTTTTGATTTAGTAACTTTTAAGTTCATCCCTTAGAAAGCAATTCTTTAGACGACCGTTAGCAAAAAGAGCGTTATGCTCATTTGTAAATCTATGCTTTTATTTTTTTGTTGTGAGAAAAATGTTTCACATAAGTTTTAAAACATGATAACCCGAAAATCCCATTTATAAATATCTTTGTTATTCGTAACCACATACAATATTGTAATAAGAACATCATTAAGGACAATATATTCTCTTTCCAGCAATAAGTTAACTATTCTAACGCGCGAATAGATAAAGATACAGAAAAGAGAGAATATTGCAATGCGCTTCTCTGCTATCATGCGCCACCGGGAACTTTATAGACTGAGACATCAATAGAAGATCTACGAATTAGATAAAGATACTAATAAATCAATAAATGTTAAAATGATAATGATCATCCATTTAATATTCTATTATAACTCTTACCGCCTAAGTATTACCGACTTACTCACCTCTTGCTGTTATAATATTATTATTGTTCTCCTATAAATAGGTCTTCATGTAACAAGAGATGAATTAATAAGTTGAATAGAAAAGAAAAACATTCGATAGCTTTCCTTCTCCACAAACGAAACTCTCTCCTTCTTTTGCACGATCAAAACTTCTCTCACACCAATACTTTCTCTCATTGTAACTCTCTTCATAACTTCTTCTTCTTCTTATTTAATTCAGTTTATTTATATCACGTTATCAGCACGAACTGCTCTTATATTCTGTCTATTTAATTTTATTGTTTATATGTTATGCCGGGATGCTAGGTTGTACCTACTCCGAGCAAATGATCATATGGTAGACTATGTCACCTTAGATCATATAAGAGTTGATGGTAAAAACCTCCTCTTGGAGTTGAGACTTTGCCTCCTCCTGAATATTTACTTTTCTGTAATTTACTTTTTCGCTATTTACTTTCTTGCCATTTAAATTTCCTGCTATTTACTTTTTGCAATTTAAATTCAGCACCTTAATTTTTACTAAATTCATGCTGTTATAATGCTCAAATTTTTATTTTTAATTGAATTTTTAATTAATGAATGGTATATGATCTATGCAGATATCATGTCAAATTTGGCAAAGCTCGAAATTTCCGCCCTTGATATTTCTGGAAACAATTATATGACATGGGCAATAGGTGCAAAAATGCATCTAAAAGGAAATGGGCTTCTTGATGCCATTGACAAGTCGAAAGAAACATCCGATGAGAAAAAGGCGAAAGCCATGATCTTTTTCTTCATCACATCCACGATGGTTTAAAAGATGAATACATCACTAAAGAAGATCCTGCGGATCTTTGGCAATCTTTGAAAGAAAGATTTGACCATCAAAAATATATAGATTTGCCCAAAGCCAAATACCAGTGGCTACACCTCCGATTTCAGGACTATAAAAGTGTTGTTGAATATAATTCTGCTATGTTCAGAATAATTTCCAAATGGTGCTATGTGGAGAAAATGTGAGCGATTATGATATGATTGAAAAAACGCTCTCCACATTTCACCCTGGAAATATAGTCCTGCAACAACAATATCGGGCAAATGGCTATACTCGTTATTCAAAATTAATGGAAGTTCTCCTTGTTGCAGAACAGAATAACGAGCTTGTGATGATGAACCATCAGACTCGTCCCACTGGAGCTGCTCCATTCCCAGAAGCGAATGTAGCATCGTCCAGCCAAAATAATGGACGAGGACGTGGACGTGGATACGGTCGAAACCGAGGTCGTGGCCGTGGCCGTGGACGTGGTCGGGGACAAGGAAAAGAGTACCGTCCCGACGAGTCCAACAATGAAAGGAATATAAAAGATCTCGAGCAAATGATTACGGCCGAGATTCTAAAAAGCAAAAAGAAAGTGTTTGCTACAGATGCGGCATGAAAAATCACTGGGAGCGTACTTGTCGTACACCCAGACACTTAGCCGATCTATACCGGGAATCACAAAAAGCAAAGGAGAAAGAAAGTGAGACTAACTTCATCTCCAATGAACCCGGTCCTTCCTTTCACGGCCTAAACGATGATACTCATCTTGATGTTTCAGATTTTCTGGTTGACTCCGAAGAGATCAACGGAAAAACAGACGACTAAAAGGACATGATATACATAGTTATCTTCCTGAATAAGATAACCTAAAAGTTTGATCTTTTTGTTGTAAAATAGTTTTTAATGTGGTATTTTGTATCTTGTGATATAAGCTTTGTATTGTTTAATACTTATTAATGCATCTTTGTTAAATCCAGAAATGACGAAATTTGAGACTCGTGATGGAGATATGTGTCTTGCAGACAGTGCTACAACGCACACAATACTCAAAGATAAAAGATATTTCTCCGGTCTCAAAATTAAAGATTCCGTTGAAAGCGTGAATACCATTTCTGGTGGTGCAAAAATAATATTGGGCTCTGGAAGAGCCAATTTTTCAATGCCAAGGGGAACAAAGTTTGAAATAAATGATGCATTATATTCCCCGAAGTCTTACAGAAACTTATTAAGTTTCAAAGATATCCGTAAAAATGGGTATCACATAGAGACTATAAATAAGAATGGCATTGAAATCCTTTGCATCAAATCGGAGGGACAAATATTGGAAGAATTGAAAATGTTGTCCTCCGGATTATATTGCACAAATATTACTCTGACTGAATCATATGTTACAGTAAACCCGAAGTTTACTAGTACATTCAAAATCTGGCATGAAAGGCTAGGGCATCCAGGTTCAGTCATGATGAGAAAAATTGTGCAAAACTCAAATGGCCATCCGTTGAAATACGGGAAAATTTTAGAAACGGGCGAGTTCATATGTAATGCATGTTCTCAAGGAAAACTCATAACTCGGCCATCACCAGCGAAAGTTGGGAATGAATCCCTGTGTTCTTAGAGAGAATACACGGTGATATATGTGGGCCTATTCACCCACCATGCGGACCGTTTCAATACTTTATGGTATTAATTGACGCATCAAGTAGATGGTCACATGTGTGTCTTTTGACAACACGAAATACGGCTTTCGCAAGATTCATTGCCCAAATAATCAGGTTGAGAGCACAATTCCCTGATTATACTATTAAGAAAGTGAGATTAGATAACGCTGGTGAATTCACTTCACAAGCCTTTAATGACTATTGCATGTCATTGGGAATCGATGTTGAGCATCCGGTTCCACATGTCCATACACAAAATGGCATGGCTGAGTCTTTGATTAAACGGTTGCAACTGATTGCAAGACCGTTAATAATGAGAACAAAACTCCCAATTTCAATATGGGGTCATGCTATTTTGCATGCTGCAGCGTTGCTCCAAATACGACCAAGTGCTTATAATATATATTCCCCATTGCAATTAGCATCTGGTCAGGAGCCAAACGTATCCCATCTCCGTGTTTTTGGTTGTGCGGTTTATGTTCCGATAGCACCGCCACAAAGAACAAAAATGGGGCCACAAAGGAGATTGGGAATATACGTTGGGTATACGTCACCGAGTATTATTCGGTATCTTGAACCTCAAACTGGTGATATGTTTACGGCACGTTTTGCCGATTGCCATTTTAATGAAGATGAATTTCCAGCGTTAGGGGGAGGAATTAAAGAGGTTCCAAAAGACCTCACATGGTGTACACCGAATTTGTACACTTTGATCCCCCGACAAAACAACGCGAATTGGAAGTTCAGAAAATTATACATTTACAAAATATGGCAAATCAATTACCAGATTCGTTCACAGATACAAAAAGAGTGACGAAATCATATATACCCGCTGCAAACGTTCCATCAAAGATAGATGTTCTAAGGAACAAAATGATGGAAGCATAGCAAATGCACCCAAAGTCCAATTAAAGAGGGGGAGGCCGATGGGCTCTAAAGATAAAAATCCCCGAAAGAAAAAGAATTTGGGAGAGAAGGTTCAAGAAGAACCTAGTAAAGAAATATGTCCTGAAGACATAAACAAACTGGTTTTTGAAGAACCAGAGAAAGAGATTCGTCCAGAAGACGAACATGATACAGAAAAATTTGAGATTTCCATCAACTTCGCCCAAAATGGAAAAGTATGGACAAGAAATGAAATAGAAGATGATGATGGAATATTCTCTTTTTCTGTATACAAAGAATTGATCATGAAAGTGATGATCCAGATCCAGAAACAATATCAGAGTGTCTGAAAAGACCTGATTGGGAGAAATGGAAAATGGCCATCCAAGCTGAATTACTCTCCCTCAATAAAAGAAGTGTTTTTGGACCTATTGTCACAACTCCTGAGAATACAAAACCCGTCGGGCACAAATGGGTTTTTGTAAGAAAAAGAAATGAGAAAAATGAGGTCACAAGATATAAAGCCCGACTTGTGGCTCAAGGTTTTTCTCAAAGACCGGGAATTGATTATGAAGAAACATATTCCCCGGTAATGGATGCCATAACATTCAGATTTTTGATGAGCTTAGCAGCGTCTCAAAATCTTGAAATGTATCTCATGGATGTTGTGACAGCATATCTATATGGATCTCTTGAAAATGAGATATATATGAAAATCCCAGAAGGATTAAAAATGCCTGAGGATTTGAAATCAAAGGCTAAGGAGATCTGTTCGGTCAGATTACAGCGATCACTTTATGGACTAAAACAGTCCGGACGCATGTGGTATAATCGCTTAAGTGAATATTTGTTGAGTAAAGATTACGTCAACAATGCGATATGCCCTTGCGTATTCATTAAGAAATCCTCTCAGGATTTGTGATTATTGCTGTATATGTAGATGACCTGAACATGATTGGAACTCAAAAGGAAATTGATGATGCAAGAACTCATATGAAAGAAGAGTTTGAAATGAAAGATCTTGGAAAGACAAAGTTTTGTCTTGGGCTCCAGATAGAGCATTTCCAAGATGGTATATTTGTGCATCAGTCAAATTACACTAAAAGAGTGTTAAAACGCTTTTATATGGACAAAGCAACTCCTTTGAGTACTCCAATGGTTAATAGATCTCTTGATGTTGAAAAGGATCCATTCCGTCCTTGTGAGGATAACGAGGAAGTGTTAGGTCCTGAAGTACCTTACATGAGCGCTATTGGTGGACTAATGTATCTTGCAAATTGCACTAGACCAGATATAGCATTCGCTACTAATCTGCTTGCAAGATATAGTTCGTCCCCTACGCGCAGACATTGGAATGGAATAAAACATATTTTTCGTTATCTTCAAGGATCAATTGATTTAGGATTATTTTATCCTAAGAACTCAAAATGTGTTTTAGTTGGTTTTGCTGATGCAGGATATCTATCAGATCCACACAAAGCTAGATCACAAACAGGTTATGTTTTCACAATTGGTGGAACTGCGGTCTCCTGGTCTTTTTCGATCTTTCTGGGTTTCGACCAAAGCAGAGAGATGCCTTTCACCATTGCAAGACTGAACATTGCAGACAAAACAAGAATCTTTGGAATCGACCAGATTCTTTCTTCCTCCATTGTGGAAAGAGAGAGAGAAAAGAAAAGAAGGAGAGAAGAACACAAAAAGAAGAGCTGTGAACTAGTTTAGTTCAACTAAATTTTTTTTACTGGTTTCAGATCCAATTCAACCCATTTATTTCCAGTATACATCATATTAATTACACGAAATACACAAAATCCCCAAATTGCCATTTGTTTTTACTGAGCTTTTTGCAGGGGAAAAAAGTCGTAGTAGCTGTCAACCTTCTAAAATAGGCTCTGACGTTCTTTTTGTGATCCTTTTTGGCATGGAAAATATTAAATAATGCGAACTATAAACGGAAATAACTGTCACTATAAAGTATAAACATGCTTCTAGGGTCCACTTAAGTAGAGTAGTCTGAGTTTTATATTCTGTGGGGGGAAAGAGGATATGAAATCAGAAATGTTTTTTTTTTTTTTGAGAACTATGAAATCAGAAATGTTTTAGATAAACTTTTTACCGTTGCATGTAAATCATCTATGAAAAAAATGATTCATATACTTATATATATAATAAATAAATTACACATATATAATGACAACTGCTACAAGAACAAAAGTTTCAAGATAAACTATAATTAAGAAGACGCTCTCATACAATGAGATTTTCTCGTTTTTTTTTTTCTTTGGTTTATCAAAGTGAACAATAAATATTTACCGTGGTAGTGTGGTCCATGCTAATTTATAGTTATTTGATATTTATTTTTCCATGTGAAAATCCACAATTATGTGTAGATAGCTTTTGACCATATGATGACTTTAAAGGTGATGTTGACGATTATGTGCTAATAATTTTAGCTTATTTTAAAAATTTAATATGTCATCGTATTTTTTTGTCATCAAAGATTCTTTAGTGAAAATAAAGTTTGAATAATACATTACAATTTACCATGCCATATCAATATGATAAAATGATGATTTGGTATAGTCTTTTAATTAGATTTAAATAGCACTCTTGAACTAATCATCTACTAGAAAAAAATAAGTATTTTCCAACGGTGACAAATTTAAATAGCACTCTAAGAAAGTATGATATGTTCAAACCAATATATTTATTTTTAAGCTATAGCTGTTGAAGAGGTAAAAAGTGGATCCATCCTGTTACCGTCACCGAGAAGCTTCTCAGCACCTTAGCGTCCATAGCTATGAGCCTATGAACCGAAAGCTCAACATTGTAACGTTGAAGCTTAGACGCGCGTATGACGCAAGTTGTTGACATTAATTAATAACATGTACGTTGTAACACGAAGCTTCCCATTGTGTTCCTCACTTCAATTTTTCCTCTTTTCTCCAAAACCTCTGTGACACGTATTCACGTAACATGTTGTGATAACCGAACCTATCGGTTATAACATTGGTCAACTTCTGCTTGATTGCTTCCAAAAAAACCGTATCGGTTGTAATCTTTTGTAAAATTATTCACATCTGGGTACTGATTGGATATTTTTTACTATTACTAATATTATCTAGTAAACAAAATAAGTCAAATGTTAACGTTTTCTTTCATGACTCATCCATTTTATACATATCATACAAATGACACCGTATTGCTCTTACTGTATTCGCCACTGTATATATATACCTTTCTTACATATTCCTTGAAATTACTATAATTTTAAAGATAGTCCTATCACAAAATTCATCCAAGATCTCTTTGAAATTTAAAAATATTTATTAGGCATCTGATTTGGTAACTCATAGAAGGGATAATATTAAGTCGCCTGACAGAAACTTATCTTGAAATTAAAGGCATTTTATATCCGTTGGTAAAATCAGTAAATGCGAAATAACTAAAATAAAAGGAGCCACCTTGAGTTACCATATCTTGAAAGTTCTATTGCAGGAGTCTCTTGGGTCTTATAAGAAAACCAAACGATGTCCCGGTTCACATAAACCATAACGAAATTTCAGCAGAGAGAAATCAAATAGCGGTTTATAGGTTTCGATTTATTTGTAATTTGTTGGACAACACATTAAGGATAGGAAGATAGATAGACTCTCAATATATAAAGATTTGAAAACATATTTTCACCCGCATTATGCAGAGACTGCTGCTGATGCTGTAGAGCGTTCGGGTGGTTTGAAGTTGACGCATAGTATTGCTTCATTTTCATCAAACACAGTTACAGAAACCTTGTCGTAACCCTTCAAAGGTTAAAAAACAAAGAAAGAAAGAGTTGATTCAGTTTATTTCTATCAGAATTATTTTCTACGCAAAAAGTGTAAGAAAATTTACCATGTCCTCGAAACGAACACCAGGAACACTAACAACAAAGTCGGTCCCAGCTTTAATAGGAAGTGCAGTCACCACCTCTTCGAGACTGTAAATTTCTGTATTCGTGTAATCGTCGCCAATCATAAGGTTCACGATTACACTTCCTTTATTGAGGCTTTGTTATGTACACGCAAAAGATTATTAGAAAAAAAATTAAAAAGGGCATTGTTTTAATTACTATCGCCAACTCTCTTTACCATCATCTTCACTGAGGAAGCTGAGAGTTGAAAGTTTTCTAGTTTTTGTTAAACAGAGAGTTGAAACTACGATTTAAAAAAAAAAAATGTTACGTACGTGCAAAACCTTCAAGTAAGATCATGACTGCGTCATCTTCCCTGACCATGGTTACATAACTTATGTAACCGACATCGTATTGAAGAGTATCTATAACAGTAACAGCATAGGTTAAGTCAATATGGCAGGTCAACATGTTCTTTCTATACTGTAACGCGAGAATCCAAATATATTTATCATGGCATGTCAAATAATCATCAAGAGTAAACTACAATCTATTGATTGATCAAACAATAAGAATAGGCATTCTCTATCATAAAGACTCTATGTTATGTTATCATATTAATCCATCAACTGTGAAGACAGATAATTAAAATCAAATAAATTTAGGTAGATAGCTACTGTTGCAGTATTCGAATTCGGGTAAGCATAAAGCAGGTACGAAGATGAGGGGTGCGATGAGAAGAAGTAGATGTTGGACATGAGATTTCGCCATGGATCTTCCAAAGATGAAAAAAATGTTTTTGTTTGGTACTTGGCAACAATTTTGCAATTCATGTGATGTTTTCATAGAAGATTGAAAAAAAAAAATATTATGATAACTTCCTAAATTAGTGGATCGGATCATAAATAATCCATATATTATTAAATGAATCCACATATAAATGTGGACATGTATATATATGCTCATTATTTACTTTCCGTACATTTACTAATTGATCATATAAATTATTCTTCCACGTTAGAAGCGAGGATTTTATATATTATTACTGTCAATGTCTTTTTGGATTGGATCGTGTTCATGTACTAAGTAAAATAACAATTTACTGGCGTAAAATTGATTGGATGGTCAAGAACTCAAGATAAAAACGTCATTCAGATCACAATACTTTTTGTACACTTTTGGGACAAGAAACTGTATATAATCTTACTTTTTAGATAAATAAAGTTTTTAGACAAGTAAAATCTAAGACCTTAATTGCGTTTTAAACAACTTTTTGTTTTGTTATCATTTTCTTATATTTTCCTTGTATTTTGCTTAGATTTTGCTCAGATTTTTATTTTTTTGTCTATTTTGTGGAGATAGATTTATACAAACTCATAGAGTCCAACCAAAAACGCAGAAAATTATAGATTTATACAAACGCAGAAAATTATGATATGCCAACCAAAAATGGAAAATAACCGCCACTATGCTAGTAGTAGGGTCTAGTTTGGTTTACTGTGGTCGGTCCATGCTACTAATTTACAGTTATTGATTCTTATTTTTCATGTCCAAATCCCCACAATTATACTGTAATCTTTTGACCATGTGACGATCATGTACTAGTAATTAAAGCTTATTTTAAAATTTTACTACGTCATCATCAAAGATTCAATAGTGAAGAGAAAGTATGAATAATATAAATCAATTTACCATGTCACATCAATATTTTAAAATGATGATTTGGTATTTATTAATTAAATTTAAATAGCATTCTTGAATTTTTGAACTAATCTACTAGTCCAATGGTGTCAAATTTAAATGGAACTCTAAGAAAGTATGATACGTTCAAACAATGTATTTACTTGGATCCATCCACAACAAGTTACTTTCGTATTAAAGCTTTAAGAAAAAAAAAATATCAAAAGTTATTATGGTTTTTGAAAAAAAAAAAAAGTTATTTTGGTATCCTTCTAAAAAATTTCTGTAAATAAGAAAATGTTTACATTCCTTTTGCCAGCTCAAAGAAATAACGACAAGAGTAGAAGTGTCCCCATCAGCATCTAACGAGAAATGTCACTGAATTTTATTTTAGTTTTTTTGGTCATACATTTCGTTTGAAAAAACAATTGCTATGTTAAAAACTTTAAAAGTTGACAACATTAGATATGCACAAAAGAGTATAGAACATTAGGTACTTTTTATAGATATGTATTACACTATACATATTTTGAAAATATAATATAATTTGAAAAATAATTTGTTTTGATAAAAAGACGAATTATACTTTTTTCTAACCTTAGAACTACACATATGTTATGGAGTGATTTAACATATGTTATAGAGTCTGTAACTGTTTTAAACCAAAAAATGAAAATGGATATGACTTCTGTTAAAAATATTTCTTGTCGGAATCAATTGGTAACAACAAACAACATCAATTTATGATTTTAGGGAAAATAAAAAGTAAAACCCATCAATTTATGATTTTGACAGGAAAATGTAAATGAAGTTTCAGATTTCATTAAACCAAACGACTCAGCGTTTTGACTTCATAAACCGGTCAATCTAACACTCTATTTCGATTCGATCACCGAAGAGATTATAAGCCAATTGGGAGTTTGGTACTGCTTAATTGATGGTTTAAAATCATAGGTGGTTTTGACGATCATGATAACTTCTAAAAAGCCAAAGCAATTTCAACTTTTTTCAATTTGCTCAACTTCAACTCGAAAATGAAGATGTATAATGGTAATATCAAAGTCGGTAGAAATACAATAACAAATTCACTCCCAAATTTTTCATATTTCATTTTATCTTGCAGTAATACAAGAGCCAAAAATTAGCTTGGTCCCCACACCCAAAAGCAAACGATATCCCAGTTCACATAAAAAAACAAAATGAAATTACAATAAAGAGAAATTAAATATCCGTTTACAGGTTTTGTAGACAACAAATAAATGGTAGCAAGATAGATAGACATGGACAAAAAGAGAGAGATAGACTTTGAAAAAATAATTTCACCGCAACCTTGATATCGCATAGACTGCTGCTCCTGATGGTGTGTGATAATAAGGATTGAGGTTGACGCGAATACTACTTTTAGAAGTACAATTTCATTAATTTCTACACCGAATAAAGAGTAGGAAGACTTTTTTTAGAGTTAATATATAAGAAAAACATGGACCATAATTGTGTCTCCTTGGATTCATCTCACGATCACGATAGATGGAAAATGAAATACACTCACAGTCTCATGTAAAGTTTATGAAACAAATTGCTCGATCTTGAAATACACTCATAATTGTGTCTCCACCGTTGGATTCATCTCCCCATTAACGGCTCTCTCTCGTTGCTTTGCCCGAACAGATCATAATGCTTTTTGTACACTTTTGGAACAAGAAACTGTATATAATCATACATTTTAGATAAAAAAAAAGTTTTTAGACAAGTAAAATTTTAGACCTTAATTTTTTTTAACAACTTTTTTGTTCGGTTATCATTTTTTTCTTATATTTTGCTTAGATTTTGCTCAAAAAAAAAATTATTTTGTCTATTTTGCGGAGATAGATTTATACAAGTTTAGATAGAAAACTGATTGTCGGATAGATGAAACCACCAAAACCAAACCGGAAACGTTGATTGATACAACTAGGTGGTTTTTTCTGGTTGCATGCAAGCATTTCAATTTACAATACACAAACAAAAACTTCATGGACCAACAAAAACTACAAAACCAATATAAGTGAGGAACATTGATCTCATCCACCTACTTTGTTCCTCCATTGTCATTGCCACTAATAGAAAAAGAAAGGAAGAGAAGACCACAAAAAAAATTAGTAGCAAGCTGAACAAAATCACAAAATTGTGTATGTACAGGAAAGTCGTGGTAGTGAGCTAGCAACCCAAATTTATGATTACAAAATTGGTAAGAACCCCATTATTCAACCATTGATCATTGTTTTATATCTCTTCACAGAATTCAGAAAAGAAATAAAAAAGAGTGAACATCTTCTATGCAAAAAGTGTAGGAAGACTTTCGACGACATCGATTTTTAAAGCAAGAGTTTATGTAATTTCTCTTTGAAATATCCTAGAAAACAAAAATCTATTACAAAAGGTCGAATAAAAAAAACATGGGCTGTAATTGTATCTCCACCGTTGGATTCATCTTGCGATCACGATAGATGATGATGAAATACACTCAGATGTTGTGAAACAATGTGCTCGATCTAGAAATTCAAATTCTCGCCATTAACGGCTCTCTCACTTTCTCTCTTTCTCTCTCCTTCCCTTCTTCCTCGTTGCTTTGCCCGAACACTGACTCTTTCAGCAGAATCAGATTTCGCTAATTGGAGAAAATGAAGCACTTCATGATGCCACGAAACGCCGTCTTGCGGGAAATCGGAGAGCCGCAATCGCCGAACCCCAGCCTGACGAAATCGAAGTCCCAGAGGAAGCTGAGATCCGCCAAAGAGAATGCTCCGCCTCCGGATCTGAACTCGTTGCTGCCTGATTCTAGGTCTTCTCCGGCGAAAATGAAGAGTCCGTTGCCTCCGCGTCCGCCGTCGGCTAATCCTCTGAAACGGAAGCTTATCGCGGAAGCTGCGGCGGAAAATGGAGTAGTTGGGGCTTCAGACTCTGGTGTCAAGGTATTGTTTCTATTTTGCTCAGAAATTGGAGAAATGTCGAGAAAAATCCCTAAATCTCGTAAGAGAAATTTGAGCCTAAGCAAATGAAGAAACCTTAAATCTTCAATTTTCCATTGCTTTACACACTTAACACTGTTCATTTTGGGAAAATAGATATGTTAGCTTCTAATTTTGTAAGGTTTTAGTTTCACTTGACCTGAAATGTCATTTCTCCCAAATAAAAATTGGCTATTAGTTACAATTTTAGTTCGATTTCTCACTAGTGAAATGAAGAGAAACTCTGATAAAGGGATCTTCTACTGTTCAATCTAATCTCGAATTCTTTGCTGCTGCATATATCAACAATTTTGATGGCATCTCATAAGCTACTTAACTCGAGTCATTGTCTTGTATTGTAGGTTATAGTCAGAATGAAGCCTCCAAGCAAAGGTGAGGAAGAGGAGATGATAGTTAAAAAGATCTCCAACGAAGCTCTCACAATCAATGAACATACTTTCACTTTCGACTCAATTGCTGACCCGGAGTCAACACAGGCAAGATTTTACTTTCCATGATTGATGTTGTCATTATTATCATGTGATTTTACATAGGCTAAGTCCTTACCTTTATTCTATACTTTGCAGGATGAAATCTTTCAGCTTGTGGGAGCACCTCTTGTAGAAAACTGCCTGGCTGGATTTAACAGTTCTGTGTTTGCCTATGGACAGGTTCTTATCATTTTTTTCAATGTGTTTCTTTGGGAGTAAACTGCAATTTCTTAAACCGATGATTACAAATTTAACTTTGGTTACTATGAAAACATTTTTCATCAGACTGGTAGTGGGAAAACGTATACCATGTGGGGACCTGCAAACGGATTGTTGGAAGAGCACCTGAATGGTGACCAAAGAGGTTTGACTCCGCGTGTGTTTGAACTGCTCTTCGCCCGTATCAGTGAGGTGATGTTTGGTGTTGTTTACTTTCAGTGAATTTCATCTTGTGAAAGAGGCAGCACACTCAAAAGTTGATTTTTATTTTGTCTGCAGGAGCAAGTGAAGCACGCTGAAAGGCAGCTGAATTACCAGTGCCGCTGTTCATTTCTCGAGGTATAATGAGTGGAGACTACTTTGGTTTTGGTGTGTTTGATGTTTACATTTCTCACAGGTTGATATGTATGGTTCTCTTTCCCATCTTTCGTTGCAGATATACAACGAGCAAATAACAGATCTTTTGGATCCAAGCCAGAAAAACCTGATGGTAAAAGGAACTTACAACTTCAACTTGATTTACTTTTTAAGGGAAAAGAACCTGCGTTCATTGTTTTTAATTAATGTTGTACCAGATTAGAGAAGATGTCAAGTCGGGTGTCTACGTAGAAAATTTGACTGAGGGATACGTGAAAAACTTGAAGGAATTGTCACAGCTTCTGATTAAGGTTTGTAGTACCCTTTCATATCGTGTTCCTCTTCGGAAACTGGTCCTTTCTAATCTGAAAGATTACTAGAGTGATTGCTCAAACCGTACACGTACACTTGGGATTAACTTTTAAAGGGATGTGAAACTTTGCTTTGTTACAATGAAAAGGTGGTCACACCACTGGAATTTGGAAAAACCTTAACGTTTCGGCTTTATTAGTGGTGCTATGCAAATCGAGTGTCCAAAAAGAAAATGACATTGTGTATACATCTGAAACTGGTGCAGGGCTTGGCAAACAGAAGGACTGGTGCAACAAGTGTAAATGCAGAGAGTTCAAGGTCGCATTGTGTATTTACTTGTGTTGTTGAGTCCCACTGCAAGGTGAGCTGTTCTCCTCTATTAAACTGTTCATATTTACTGACGACTTTCAAGGTTTATAAGAAGAGGCTATGAGGCCTATTAAAAACTTATTAGTCTAGCAACTATTTAGTTCATCGTTTATGATAATGCTATGGAATCAACACCTAACATCATTTTAATGTAACAGAGTGCTGCAGATGGCCTAAGCAGCTTCAAAACAAGTAGAATAAATCTTGTTGATCTGGCTGGTTCCGAAAGACAAAAATCAACTGGTGCAGCTGGTGATCGTTTGAAAGAAGCTGGGAATATCAATCGATCACTTTCTCAACTTGGGTAAGATCAGAATAGCCTTACATAGGCTGCTTATTAATTTTCTTTTCCAGCTGGTACTGCATTTTTATGATTTTGTCTAGGAATATGTCTGTATATTTGATGCTTTAGCACGCATTTATATCTTGATTATGATGACTAGGGAAAAGGAAACACAATTTTAAAATGCTGGTCGTAATGTAGACAATTTACAGAGGGTGATACTATAGAGTCTGAAACTGAAAATCGTAGATAGATGTAAACCATTCGAGTGTTTTTACTTGCAGGAATTTGATCAACATTCTAGCAGAAATTTCACAAACAGGGAAGCAAAGGCACATACCCTACAGAGATTCCAGGCTGACGTTTCTATTGCAGGAGTCTCTTGGTGGGAATGCAAAACTAGCTATGGTTTGTGCAGTTTCTCCATCGCAAAGGTAAAACGAGAACCCGAATCTCCCTCTAAGACATTACTTATATCCTCCAGATTTCTGAAAAATCAAACTTCATCATAAACTGCAGTTGTAGGAGTGAAACCTTCAGTACCTTAAGATTTGCTCAGCGTGCAAAGGCGATACAGAACAAGGCAGTTGTGAATGAAGTAATGCAGGATGATGTGAATTTCTTGCGGGAAGTGATACGCCAGCTGAGGGTATGCATTCTTTTGATTATCTCAATAGAATATAAATGCAAGTATACAAGTGTGAATGTAACTTCTAATGTAAACTACGCAGGACGAACTGCAAAGGGTGAAGGGTAATGGAAACGATCCAGCCAACCCAAATGCAGCTTATACCACTTCCTGGAATGCGCGTAGAAGTATGAGTTTGTTAAAAAGCTTTGGCCTGAGCCATCCAAAGTCATTAGCCCATGGAGATGATGATGGAGATACTGAGATGGAAATCGATGAGGAGGCTGTTGAAAGGCTTTGTGCTCAAATAGGCTTGCAGTCATCTCCACCTGCCGAGGAGAACAATCAGGACATGAACAGAGTAGAGAAAATAGATTCATCCTTGCAAACTGTGGCCCTGAAGGATGAAAATCACAAAGACCTTAAGTCATCTGTTGCCCAATCTACTGATACAGATGTGAACATGGAGGATGCAAGTTGCCAAACTGAGAACCATGGGGCAGCGACTACTGATAATGCGTTAACTGTGGAAGAAACTGGCGTCACAACAGCCGTGCAAACTATGGATCATGGTTCTTGTATTAGTGACACAAACCATGACAATTCACCTAGCGAGGAGGAGAATGCTCCATCATGCCAAGACTTGGTTCCAGGAGCTCTTGTTTCTGAAATTGCGTCAGTAGCTGATGCTTCAAATGGTACAGAAGACCTCTCAGTAAATCCTTTGTCACCTTGCCTCAGCATAGATCCAGCAAGTGTTTCTCCTGTACTAATAATTCCCACTGAGAGCGTCTCTCCTAGGATTAGAAATAGCAGGAAAAGCTTGAGGACATCATCAATGACCACTGCATTACAGAAAGATATTGAGAAAGAGAACCAGTTACCTACAGAAGTTGTGGAACCTTCTCCGGCTATGTCCACAGAGATGTTAAACCTATACGGTGCTTTGTCTGCGAAGAAAAGTGAAGCTTTTCCTGTGCCAACTAGGCAATTGGCAGCTAGCCTCCACAAAGGCATGAAACTTCTGGACTCTTATCGCCAGAGTACAGCTCAAAGACGATCCACATTCGGGTTTTCCTACAAAGCTCTAGATCAATGCAAGCCTTCAACAGTTTTAAGTAAGGCTGATGTTGGTGTGCAAACTTATCCGGAAGCTGATATAATAGCGGAAGAGAACCCAAAAGAAGTACTGTGCAGTAAATGCAAGTGTGTAGCAGAGTGTGATCCCCAAGAAACAAGTGACATTTCAAATCTTCAGTTGGTAACTATTGACAACAACTCAGAAGTCTCAGAAAAGTCCAATTTCCAAGTTCCTAAGGTAAGGATTTCATGTAGAGTTGTTTTTTTTGTTTTTGTTCTGCATTTGTATAGTTTAACGATGTGATGTGAGTTTGCTGCACCTTGCAGGCAGTGGAAAAGGTTCTAGCAGGGTCTATCAGAAGAGAAATGGCTCTGGAAGAGTTCTGCACTAAGCAAGCCTCTGAAATATCACAGCTTAATCGTCTGGTATGATCCTAGCTTATGTTCTGTGTTGTTAGCTTTTCTTCTTTCTACAAAACAAGAGAACCTTTCTAATTGTAACCAACAATTTGAACAGGTGAAACAATACAAACATGAAAGAGAGTGCAATGCCATCATAGGACAAACAAGAGAGGACAAGATTGTTCGCCTCGAAAGCCTCATGGATGGCGTTTTATCCAAAGACGATTTTCTGGACGAAGAATTTGCATCTCTCATGCATGAGCATAAGGTAATATTTTAAGGGTTTCATTATATAAAAGGTTACTGAATCAAACGCAGACATGTTTCCTGACATATATAAAATGCTGCAGCTTCTGAAGGACATGTATGAGAACCACCCTGAAGTATTGCAGACGAGGATCGAGTTGAAACGTGCGCAAGAAGAGCTCGAGAGTTTCAAGAACTTCTACGGTGACATGGGAGAAAGGGAAGTGTTACTGGAAGAGATTCAAGATTTAAAGGAGCATCTACAATGTTACACCGACACTTCTCTTACATCATCTCGGAAAAGAGGCTCTCTCCTTAAGCTGACATACACTTGCGACACTAATCAGGCTCCTCCACCACCACTTGATTCCATTCCTGAGTCAACAGACGAGAGTCCTGAGAAGACATTAGAACAAGAAAGACTTCGCTGGACTGAAGCAGAGAGCAACTGGATCTCTCTAGCTGAGGAACTAAGAACAGAGCTCGACACCAATAGGAAGCTAATGGAAAAGCAGAAACGTGAACTTGATACCGAGAGAAGATGCACTGAAGAGTTGACTGAAGCGATGCAGATGGCGATGAAGGGTCATGCAAGGATGATCGAACAATACGCAGACTTGGAGGAGAAGCATATACAGTTGCTTGCAAGACACAGGAGGATCAGAGAAGGAATCGACGATGTTAAAAAAGCAGCAGCCAGAGCAGGAGTCAAAGGAGCAGAGTCAAGATTCATTAACGCACTCGCAGCAGAAATCTCCGCTCTGAAAGTGCAGAGAGAGAAGGAAGCGCAATACTTTAGAGACGAGAACAAGAGTCTCCAGTCACAACTTAGAGATACAGCTGAAGCTGTTCACGCAGCTGGAGAGTTGCTTGTTCGACTTAAGGAAGCTGAAGAAGGATTGAAAATTGCACAGGTACATTATTAAAATCTTACGCCATTCAATCATATGAGAATCTTGGTTAATAACCTTTTTGTGTGGCTTTGTGTATTCGCAGAAAAGGGCAATGGATGCAGAGCGTGAAGCATCAGAAGCGTATAAACAGATTGATAAACTGAAGAGGGAAGACGAAACCGGAATCAGAACTGTTAACCAACAAGAAGAAGACATTGTAGTAGAGCCACACAATCCCGGAGAGTCTTTACAAGGTGCTTCTTTTGATGGTGATGTGATGGCTTCATGTGATGAGCCAGCGTCGGTTAGTTCAGGTGATCAGCAATGGAGAGAAGAGTTCGAGCCATTTTACGAGAAAGATGCAGAGTTGTCAAAGATCGCTGAGCCTTCTTGGTTCTCTGGGTATGACCGATGCAACATTTGATTTTCGTTTCCACAAACATTTTGTTTTTCTGTAATGTGTTGTATAGATCTAAAGTTTGCAAACTTTCTCATTGTGATTTTTTATGTATCCTACAAAACACATTTTTACCAGTTTATACAATCTTTGTATTCATTCATCTCTTTACCTATCTGAAAGATGTCTTAGCTAGATTCCTTGTAAGTCAATTTGATTTATCACTATAATTATAAAGATGATTCTCTGTAATAAATTAGAATGGACTAAAGCCTAATCCGGTTTATAAATTGGAAATGACTAAAAGCTTAATGGATTCTGGTGGAAAATTCATTCGTCAGTGTCTTCATGTTCACTTCCTTCTTCCCCTTCCATGTCTGCCTCTTCCATGTCTGTGTTGATTTTCGATCTCTTGGGTGATGGCTGAAAGAAGAAATGAGAAGAAAACTATTAAAAAGTTGCACTCATACACCTGAAAAAAGCCATGTGCACAAAGGAAACCATAAGAGAAACTTACTGATGTATCAAATAGCTCCTCCAAAATATCGTAGTTGATTTGCCCACTAATTCTCTGTAAAGAGTCCAGACTCCAAGTCAGAAAGAGGATAAAAACACAAACTCCAAAAGTTTTTCTAACAAAGAGCAATGCTTTATAGATATGCACTTGCGGTTGATTAACACACTTGTCAAAACCACATGACAATACTTAAGCTTCTAAGTATTTAAGGCATCAAAGAGGGAGGATACCTTTTTCTCAAGCATTCTGCCAACAGCTTCCACGGCTGTGGCTGGGGGAGGGGCGTTCTTTGCTTCCTCAGCACGTTTCTGTTGCTTTTCCTATATCAAGAGAGAAAACAGAACAAGAGTTTGATTCAGAGCATGAACATGGTTGCAAAGTTCCAAGTGAGAGCCACCTTTCTAGCTTTTTTCACAGCTTCGACAAGCTTCCTTGCATAGTCTGGGGAATCAGCATTGCTTGCGTTTGACGCCATGAAAGCCTTAGCTGCTTGCTTCTACAAAACAGAAATAATAATAACTTGGTAAGATTAAGATTTCTTCTACATGTAAACAAAGTCAGAAAAGCTCTCACCTCAAAATAGTCTTTGTTTTCTAAATCAAAGACGGTCGTCTTCAAGAGCTTTTCTTCCTCGGTGAGAAAAATGTCATCCACCTCAGAATCATCCACGTCAGAAAGGTTGCCTGATTCGTCCGAAGCTTCACCATCATCCCAATATTTTTCTCCTTGACCTTTCTCTGGGACACATCACAAAGTTTCTCAAGAGCTCAAATCATATTAGCAATAACATAACTTTGTTCTTGATTAGACGGTGTAATTACACTCACCCGAGAATGGTTTTTCTCCTACATTTACTTGGTTTAAGCTCCCAAACTCTCCCTCGTTTTCATCTCTGGCAGCTGCTTCTTTCTCCATTCTCTCTTTCTCTGCTCGCTGGAAAGCAGGAGGATCCGACCCACCAACAAGTCCACCAGAAACAGTTACGAACTGCAAGCAAAAAGATTGTAAAAGAATAAAAAAACACCTCATTCACAATTCTTGGACAACAAACATAGAAAGAGACAATAACCGGAGACGTACATCCTCGTAACAGCTCTTACATAACCCATAAGCAGAAGGGTCTTGACCCTTATGCTTGCAGAGCAATCCTGTTCCTTTGTTAGAGTTTGGTGGCGGGGTAGAAGAGCTTTTCTCCAATACCCTTTCTCTTTCACCGAGCTCATCAACCTAGCCACAGCCACAGCCACACATGAAACTCTTAGCTCTAATTCTACAAAAAAAAAAAGAACTCTTAGTCATGCAAATGAAATATAACTCACAGTTAAACTTGCAGCCTCGGTATGTTCAAACTCAATCAACCTTTTGGTTAGAGTTGCTTCACATATATGCACAATTTTAACCTGAAAAGTATTTACAAAACACACACATCAAAAAATCTGCAATAAACTTATGAAACAAACTTATGATATTCTTTTCATATTCTTACAATATCTGACTTAGAGCACTTGACACCATGACAGAGAGCAGCCACGTAAAGTGCTGCTCCACATATTCCACTTGGTTTCCGACCGGTCTAAAAGTCAATAAAGAACACGTAAGAGTAAGAAACTATCCTTTTAACAATAGGAGTGAGTCACACACAAACCTGCATCCAATCTCTCTTCATACTAGCTATAATGTCTCTAGCCGTCTTCACGACAGCTTTCTCCTCTGTACCACCTTTCAACAAGACTGCAAGTGTATGATCAAACGGGTCAAGTATTTCATGTACAACTGTTTTTTTATCTTTATAGTATATAGTTTTGGCTGCATCAACACAATACACAAAACAGTGAGAGCCAAAAGACAAGAGATACTTACTGTATGAGAAGCGAGGAATGAAAATTGAAGGATCAACAAGCTCTTCGTAGTTCTTGTCTTTCACAATGTAGAGCAGTTCACAGAGTTGCAAGTACACGGATCCTAACTCATAACTGCAACAAAAATTTCATGAAAACCAATACTTAAAAGGTAATAAGGCTATAAAAAAGTAAGGAAAATTGAAAACTAACTCATCTTACACGCTAACTCGAAGGTAGCTTGAAAAGTCAATAAGAAGAAACGGAAGTTTCTTTTCCCTAGAGATGAGAAGAATCAATAAGGTCAACACATGACTCGTAACGTCGTATCATAACTCAAACAGATTTAAGAAGAATCTTATAACCTGCAAGTCAAGTAGAGACAGGAACACTGTACTAGTTCAGTTCTACGCCCTTTGGTGAAGTTTTGCTCAGCTGCCATCTTCAGAAAATATATAAAATCAGAGTTAAAAAGATGCGACAAGTTAATAATACTCAAGAAGATATGAAGTAAAACATACTTCAAAGAATTGAGCAGCAAAGTCAACCAAATCGTCTCTCTCATCACCAATTAAGGCAACTGTCAAATTGCTTAACTCATCTCTAGCTGCAACCAACAAAAGAAAGGATCACAACTGCACAAACGTAATGATCAAAACCAAAGCTAAAGACTAGAGATCATCATGTTATCAGTTGCATTATTTAGGCCAATAGTGAGCAGAGAAACAAAGACAAACCTATCCTAAATCTTCTTTGACGTGAGCTTGAAACCCCACTCTGAACACTTGATACTATGTTCCCAGACGCTTGGCTCTGCAGGTAAATAAACAAAAACATGTAAGCAAAAGATTTGACAGATAATTTGAAACCCCTCTAATCAGTTCTTGCATACCTATTGATCACATTCTCAATATATTAAAAAAATTGAATCAATTTGTAGAGATTCATAAGAGGTTACAATACAATACCTGTCCAGCAGCATTCTTAACGAATTGAACATCATTAGAATAATTGTAATTCTCCAATATCCTCCCACATAAATTACATGCCCTGGCAGAAGAAGTTGACGATTCGTAAATTTTCGGATTTTATAGAGACCACAACAAATCAAGTTTTATAAACAGATTCAAACAACACTTACAATGCACCATCATAAGGGCGTAATCCGGAAACGTTCTTCCCGCAATGGGAACACCACACCATAGCTCTCCAAAGTGATAGAGAAACTATCGGAAGCGTGAACCTATCGGAAGTGATATCGGAAGCGTGAACAAAAGCTCCGGCGGTTCTGTGTCAGGAACAAGGGATTTTGAAGACTTTGAAGAGCCAAAGTGTTCTTCTTGGGCCCTATCACATAATAGCTGGCCCAGTTTGCTGATTCATTTAAGCCCACTGAATTGGTTAAGAAGATTTTTGACTTAGGGAGATTCGAACTCGTGAACCGTGAGTTACATAAATTCAGGCACCACCAACTGCGCTGTAGATACTTTGTGAATGGATGGTCGATAGTTTAGTTTTAATGAGGCCGTAGGAACCTGACACTATATCACAGGGCTCGTTTTTTCCCGCTTAAACGGGAGTTGTCGAAGATCGCTGAGCCTTCTTGGTTCTAGGGGTGTGATGCAATAGTTTTTGTTTCCACTGCATTTTTTTCTCTGTAATGTGTTGTATAGAAGAAAAGTGGGGTCTGTTTCTGATTATGTGAATTAAGTTGGCCGAATTAAGTTGATAACAAAAACGTTATTTACCACATCATTTTTTGGCTTCATCAAATATATCACTACAAATTTGGTATTTTACTTCAAAACTGCGTTATTTTTTTTTTGTTGGACTTGCGTGATTATCAGCAAAACTTTTTTCAGATTTCGTTTTCAATTTCTTTGTAGTCAACTATTCGACATCCACACTCCCAACTTTTGATATGCCGAAGAAGAGAGTGATTCTTGTATCGAGAGTGTAACTCATGCTCGTGAAGAAAGATTGAGCAAAGACGATTGTTGCTATTCTCATTTTATGGTAGGAACAAGAGAGACAAGAATTTCCAATAGCTTTTTATCGATTGAATTTGTAACTGAAAGAGAGAGTGAGACTTTGTGAGAGAGTGATTCTTGTATCGAGATCGCTCATTACATTGTACTTGGAGTGATGTTGAATGGAATTATAGTTTGTTCATAACAACTACTTTCTATAAGAATTAGAGTGATATGTGGATTAATTAGTGTTTGGGTGTTAGTGATTACTCCAAATGACGGAAAGTCTTTGGTCGTTGTTCTTGGTTGTTGTTTTCATAGTTTAAGGTTTTAATCGTATCGTATTATTTTATCAATAAGACACGTTTGAATTTTTATTTTAATAATGGAGCAAAAGGGTTACCAAAAGATGCTTGAGCATATGCCCTAGGTCCTAACAACAGGATCCGGATTTCAGGGAAATACAACGTGAACGTAAAAGTGAAGCATTTGTTCAAGAAAATTCACGTTTTGTTTGGCATATAATATGCATGTGCGTTGCCTTTTAGGCTATATATAAACGAATCAGATGGTGAAGCATTTGTATCTACATAACAAGTGACTACACTTGTAGATCTCTCTCCGGCTTGAGAGAGTAGTCGTCACTCTTTGTTCCGATCATTTCTCTTTTGGTGTATAGTGAACAGAATAAAATATTCTTAATTTATGTCGTACATATCTTTTGTAGGAATTGGATCACTTGCACTAGAGATTCACACGATCATAAAGTGAATTTCTGAGAAAGATGTTGAGATTTGAGAATACACGGTTTAGAATCAAGGAAACTGATAAGACACTTTAGAGATGATAACATGCATGACTATAACTCTAAATCAGTTTCTTTGATTATGAAAGTGCGTTTTAGGATCTTTTCAATCTCATTCTCAAAATAATGCGAGGTACCGAAATTGGTTAGCAAATGGATCGAGTGGACCTTCTCTTTTTTGTTGTCACGGTTGGAAAACATGAGCATGTCTCTCACTTTCGATTTCATGACCGTCGAATCTCTCTCTCAAGTGCACATTTGGTACATTTTTGGCTTGAGTGTATATATTTTTTTCTTATTTGTCAATTGTCAAAAGGGTTGGCTGAAAACATATTCAACTGAACCACACACTCAACACATGATTTGGATAGATGCAAACTCTTCGGCCTATCTCCATTTTGACCGGCATCCTACATTTTGTGGTTGTCTCTATCTAGTATGAGTATATAAAGTAAGCATCCTGCTTAATGGCAGAGTAAGACTCATGCGCCAGCAAGATCTTATCAGAAGACAACAGTTCCACACCAAAATGCCTATGCTCACCAGCAACACACAAGACCTTGTATGTGGAAGAAGTAGGCTCAAAGCCGATAAAGTACCTCAGCTGCTCCCGTTTGGTATCTGGTGGAGGTAAATCAATCGTCTGTCCCGTGTTGGGACTGAAAATCCTTGCCACCCATTTCCTCATGCCATTTGTGTCATGGATGTGTGTGAAACAGAGCCACCCACGAGCAGAGTGAAAAAACTCAAAGGAGTCACATCTTCACCCGTCTGCACCCCACAATCTCTGTAGTAGGAATGAGGCAGTTCTTCACCCGTCGTCAACTCCATACTTATGTAGTTGAAGTCACACTTGTCATCTCGGGGAAAAGCGAACAAGAGTTTCCTAGGCAGGGATGCTTCCTCCTCCTCCTTTAGCGAATCAAAGAAAGCCATGTAAGACTCTCCTGAAACAACATCTTCGTCTTTGTTTTCCTTCTCCTTACACAAATATGAAATTGAATTTCTGAATAATCAACAACAAGACCAAAAGGGAAAAAAACGTTTGTATGTTGTTTTAACGGAAAGTCTTTGGTCGTTGTTACGTTCTTGGTTGTTGTTTTCATAGTTTAAGGTTTTAATCGTATTATTTTATCAATAAGACACGTTTGAATTTTTATTTTAATAATGGAGCAAAAGGGTTACCAAAAGATGCTTGAGCATATGCCCTAGGTCCTAACAATAGGATCCGGATTTCTGGGAAATACAACGTGAACGTAAAAGTGAACTATTTGTTCAAGAAAATTCACGTTTTGTTTTGCATTTAATATGCATGTGCGTTGCCTTTTAGCCTTTTAGGCTATATATATATAAACGAATCAGACGGTGAAGCATTGTATCTACATATAACAAGTTAGTACATTTATAGATCTCTCTTCGGCTTGAGAGAGTAGTCGACTAGTCGTCACTCTTTGTTCCTATCATTTCTCTTTTCGTGTATAGTGAACAGAATAAAAAATATTCTTAGTTTATGTCCTAAATATCTTTTGTAGGAATTGGATCACTTGCACTAGAGATTCACACGGCCATGGAGCCTAAAGTGAAAGACATGGCCATGTCTTCCCACTGAGGCAAAGATTCGTTCGTAGTCTATTTGTTAGTCATTCTCGATCTCTCATACTATTTCGAGAAAGATATTGAAAATATCTTAAAACACGGTTTAGAATCAAGGAAACTGGTAAGAACTTTAGAGATGACAACATGCATCATGACTAACTCTATATCAGTTTCTTTGATTATGAAAGTGTGTTTTAGGATCTTTTCAATCTCATTCTCAAAATAATGCGAGATACCGAAATTGATTAGCAAATGGATCGAGTGGATCTTCTCATTTTTGTTGCCACGGTTGGAAAACATGAGCATGTCTCTCACTTTTGATTTCATGACCGCGTCGAATCTCTCTCTCAAGTGCTTACAATTCATACGACGATAAGAGTGGATACAAGCAGGATGCAGCTTGAGCACAAGAACCAACCAAGTTGTGGTCTTTTTTTTTTCATAGTTCAAATCCGGTTAAGTCATGAGTACGGTTGTTATCATGTATGTGTGTGTGTGTGTAATGTGTATATGTTGAAGCATCTAATAAATTTGGGAAATAAGCATTGCAATGCTTGGAAACAACTTTTATAACTTTGACTTTAGACTTTTTATTTTGAGAAACATTTTAAATAATTTTATAAACAAAATAAAAGCCATGTATTGTTGGCTTTTGAAAAAAGAACAAAAACGATTTATCACATTATTTAATGCCATGCCTTTTATGTTGTTAATTAGTTATGATGATGAACTCTTTCTTCTCCGAAATTTGATATTAATAAAAGTTTATTCAGCATGTGGCCATTTTTACAAGATTTTTTTAAAAGTATTAGGAGCCAGATTATATTAACTGGCATATTCTTTTATCACAATTTAACCAGAACAAAACAAAATTATACTATTCTCTCACAAGCTAAGCAAAATTAACATAATAATAACAATTGTAAATAATACAGTGAGGTTCCAGAAAAGGTTTGTTGTCAATTTCTTTTACATAATATGAACTTTCTTATTATCTTTTTGGGTTAAATAGAAATCAACAGATGCACAAGCAAAGAAGAAATCGACAGTAAACATATAATTCCACATTCACTCCGTAGCCATCACTACTTGGTTTCTGTATGTACAGAGAGAGAGAGATACAATAATAATTATAATAAGATGCTTAAGGCTCAAGCTTCATCTGAAGTGTTGGCTCAGAACCTGAAAACATAAAAAGATAAAGAGATTAGCATGAGAGTGACACTGATTCTAAAGTTTCAATGTGACTACTATGGCTCTAACTATCTCTTACAGTTGTTGTTGCTCTGTTGCTGAATATCTCCAAAACCCATCTGAACAATGCTTTGCAAGTCATTTTCCCAGAATCCCGGAGTCTGAAATTTACCAGCAACACACAAAAGGGATTGAGCAAGACAGAGACAGAGACAGAGAGAAGTAGTTTTCTAATTTTCTTGAATCTGACATTGAACAACTAAATACCTCAGCTTGAGCAAATCCATCGCTGGAGGGGAATTGTGATTCTGAATATCTGGGCATGTTCTTGCCAAGAGAATAGTATCCTGATGGTAGTCTTTGCTCTGAGCAAGCTATTGCGTAAAGAGACTGCGTTAATGACTCCCCCTGTTGGTTCATCTACACACATACAGATTCACACATTAATGATACAGAACAGAACATTTTCGATAAGAACAACAGCTGCAAAACTCAAAAGCAGAGATTTTTACCTCTGAGGATAAAGCAGCATTAGCATTAAACTCCATCCTTGGATTTATAGTAGCCAGCTTCATGGACAAGAACTGAAGCAAAACAGACCGCAAAATGTTCAGATTTTAAGAACTAATCAACTCCGATTTCAAGAAACATTCACAAAATGTTGAATCTTACCTCGACTTGTCTCTGCAAGGACTGCACATAGTTTATAATCTCATCAAGCATAACCGCTTTCCCTGTAATCCGGTTGCAACCAGGAACAAGATCCTGAAGCAACGTCATTCTCTCGCTGATCTTCTCTCTTCTTGCCTAACAAACCAAACACACATCAAAAACATCAGCATTGTGTAATTTGTAACATAAACAAAGAAACAGATCGGTTTTCAAAGGTGTTGTTGTTAGTACTCTTTCAGCAAGACTGTGGCTATCCGTTGCTTGACCCCTTCTTGCTCTAACATGAATGTAATCTTTAAGCGGCTCAGGCGCCTTTGCATCGTCCTTATTCTCGCCTTTGCTATCGCATTTCTCTGCTCCGTTCTTACTGCTCCCAGCTTCCTCCTGCTTGCTTCTCTTCCCTGCCTTGGATCCACCATTCTCCCCTGAAATCTGATTCATAAAAATCCAAACTTTTGAGTGACATTTCAAGAATATCAAGAACACATTCACAAACACACAAGTCTCTTTATCTACCAAGAAATCTGATCATAAATTCGAACTTTTTCGTCAGAGTTGAGACATGTCAAGAACACACTAAAGTCTTCACAAAGACACAACTTTCTTATCCATATGGTTTCATGAATCAAAAAGGCTACAGTTTTCCTCCTATACAGTCTACAAGTCTGAAACTTTGGAGCAAAGAGAGATTGGTGAGATCAAAAACCTTGGAATTGGAAGCTGTGAGAGACGACGAAGCTGGAGATTCCTTGCCGTTTCCGTTTGTTATCGATTTCCTCTTCCTGGAGTTGGATTTCGTGGTTTGGTGAGCTCGATCGGAAACTGAATCTGGATCAAGCAACGAGCTTTTGTTGCTCTCCTGTGCTGTTTGCTGCGACCCGAGAGCTCCGAATTCCCGATCGGATCCGAATTGTCCTGGATACGGCGGGAATCGGATTCCTCCACCGGAAACCGGGAAATTCTCGGGGATCTGGGGGTTGAATGATTGTAGAGCTAACGGAGAAATCTCTTGAGGGTTGCAGAATCTGCCGAGGAAATCGCCGATCGTTCCTTCGTTGACATTGCCAAAGGGATCGCTCTGACCCAAAGGTAAGTAATTTAGGGTTTGCTCTGTTTCCTTGTCCATGTTCATCTAGAAGAAGCAGAGACTGTATAGTGACTAAGAGTCTAAGAATTGAGTGAACCAAATTGGGAATTCTGTAAAAAAAATGAGATTTTGAAAACAGAACCAAATCGGGAAGTAATAAAGAGAGCAACTTTTTGTCTGTGTGATTCTTCTTTCAGTGAAAATGAGAAAGAGAAGACTGAATTTCACAGGGAGAATGTAAGCAAAGGAAAGCTACTAATTTAGGAAATGAGTCAGGAAGAATTTTGCAGAGACAGAGAGGAAATGAAGAAAGAAAGATTAGCAATTTAGAAACGAAGAAGCAATAGCATCATTGATCAATCAAAGTGGGGGAAAGAGGAAAGAGAAGGCGGTGACTTTTTTTACTGATCAGAGAGAGGTTTGGAGAAGAAGAAGAAAGAAGAGAAAATGACAAAAGAGAGGAAAAGAAAGAGGGAAAGTAATGATAAGAAGTTTTTTTTTTAATTAAAAAGATGTTTTTGATTAAGTGAGTTTTACAGTTCAAAAGAGGAAGAATCTTACGTGGGTTTATGTTAATGTGGGAACATTAGATGGTGAAAGTGGGTAGGCTGCTTAGGCTGGCCTCTGTAATCATTGGAGTGAGAAGAGAGAGATGGAGAGAGAGAGAGAGAGAGCATGTGCATGGCAGAGACAGGAAAGTTGTGGGAGGGAGAAACAAACAAAAGAATAAAAAGGGATTTTAGTTTTTAATTATCATGTTTAATCATTCTTGGTTAACAAGACTATTTAATTGTTTGATTAAAGATACTTACCAAAACATGGAAATTTTTTTTTGTTTAGCTGTTTGTTTGGTGTCCAAAAGTCAATTATTGACTTGAAAGGCTTTAGTTTCAGATCTTGAATTTTTTTTAGTAGTAAATCTTGAATTGTATTCTGATGAGTTGTAAGTTAATGATAATGAATTTATAATGTGAATTGAGTATCAACATATATATATATATTTCTTCATAGGTTTGTTTGTGTCACATACAAAATGAATTTCCATTGCCTTTGTTTTGACCTTTCTGTAAGTAGCTGCTTCACTTGTGAAGTACATTGCTTGTGGTGACCAAATGTTGAGATGCATAGAGCTGATTTAGGTCCAATAAGCAAAGGCTCTTAGGGGACACGTTCTAGTACATGTTGAAGCGCTTTCTTGATTCCTTGTTGATCCAGAGACGTTGTCAAGTGTATCTCTTGCACCTGAAATGTTCAATTAACAAACATTTTTCACTTAGAATCAAAACAAGAACAATCTATCTATGGCCACAAATGCCTGAAAAATAAGCTTCTGAGATTTCTTTACCTGTCTTCCAGCTCGGGCAAGAAGAACAAACTTCCCTTCTGAAGGCGGTGTCTGCGGAAAATAGAGATAAATATAATGAAAATTTTTCACAAAGCATAATTATATGCTTATGGTAATATAACAAGAAAACATAACTCACATTTGAGAGCCAAAGTTGCAAGTCTTGTGAAACCACTCTTTTCTCAAATCCTTGCCGGTTGATTTTCACCGCTTCTATTCTGAAATGTAGAGATATCTATGAGGATTGATCAAGACATGGTTCTTCTAATGCATGAAACATAGAATCCAAACTAATGCAGTTTATCTTCTTAATAAGCAGAGAGACGATTATGACTGTAATAGCAAATAACAATTTTGTTATATACCCGTCTTCTTGCAAAAGCTCTTCAAGTATTGTTTCTAGCCCTGGTAGAGGTTCGATTGCATCTCCATTACTCGAGCTTAACGAAGGAGATCCCGCAGAGCTGTCCTGTAACAATAATAATAACATTCAATCATCTACACTATAAAACCAACTAAGACCAAACAAAAGAACACATAAACATATCCACATTTTTTATTATTACCTTCAAAATCACTTTGTCCAATGTTTCTAAAAGAGGATCATCTTCTAGTTGTTTGATTGATAGTGTAATCCTTGATTTTTCTCTGCATTGAATCAAAGATATATGTATCATCATCATCATGCATGACTAAGGAACCAAAACAAGAAGAAAGAAACTCACTTGTCGACATTTGTGACTATGACTCGAACCTCATCACCATCGCGTAACACATCTCTAACGTCTTGAACATAATCCCAAGAGACTTCAGAGACATGAACTAGTCCGGTTAGATGATAAAGACCTACAACAACAACACACCACCAATCACATTTCCCATCATCAATGTCACAGCTCAAAAGAAGAAGAAGAAAACAATCAATAGTAAAAAGCAAAAAATATTTACCATCATCAAAACGTAAGTGGATAAAAGCACCATAGTCCTCAACAGAACCTACTCTTCCAGTAAACACATCTCCCACATTAACGTATTGTGAATACTTTGGCCATAATGCTAACTTCTCAGATAAAATCAACTTTCTATTCTCCTCATCAGCTTGAACAACCTATACATATAGAATTTAAACCTCAAAACCAAAATTGGCTGTTACACATTATGGATTTAAATTATAAAAATAGAAGGCAACAATTACCTTTACAGGAAGTTTTGAGCCGACCAAAGTCTTAGCTATCTCATGAATGCTTTTCTGAGGCTCTTCAATCGTAATAAAACACAAAACCATCAATGACACTTCTTCCAAATAAACAAAATGGATAAGAGAGAGTTTTAGTTACCTTTACAAGAACGTGAAGGGCTTAATTGTGGATAAGGAAGAAACCCAACAAGAGAATGAAATCGAATAAGCAAGCCTCCGCCATTAAAGCCTTCAACTTCACCTTCAAATGTGTCTCCACTTTTGCAATAAGCCTTTGCCGTCTTCCAATCGCTAGAAATCTAATGAGAGAGAGAGAGATCAATGGAAACCAAAAGTGAGCAACTTTTCTTCGTATATCCAAAAACAATTGCAAAAGTAACGAACTTTCGCCAGTTTCAGATGAGACTCTGTTCGGAATTACAACATTTTCTTCGATAAATTAGAAAAACAAGAGATGGGTACGCACCGGAGCGAGTCCAGCATCGTCGGAGGTATCCCGGAGAAGAGAATTGGAGGCGGAGAGAACGGAGGATTGATCGGAATTCCGATCGGTATCTGCGGTGGCGGAGCCTGAGAAGGATTTGACGACGCAGATGAGAGAGTTTCTATGTGAAGACGAAGACGAAGACGACGATGAAGAGGAGGAAGGGAGGAGTCTAAGAGGGCAAGCGAGAAAACAGGACTGTTGCTCGAATAGATGAGAAGAGAACGAAACAGAGCCCAAATTAGCAGTACCACCGAAAACCGCCATTGTTGCGCGGCAGAGCTTTAAGCCGCGAAGAAGAAGATTGATTGAAGAAGCTTGAAAGTGTTTTAATGGTTGTAACGGATAAGGGAGAGAGGGAAAGTGATGAGAGACTGGAGATGAAAGGTGACGTGGCACTCGTCAAAGCTCACAATAAAAGAGTAAAAGTCAAAGTAAACACACGTGGCGGAATTTAAGTGGATAATGTAAATTGTAGTTTTCGTTTAATCTCTTCTCTCTGAATCAAAAAGGATTAATCTTTATCGCAAAACCCTCTCTCACTCTCTCGCTCGCGGAAGCATTTTCTCGAGAAAGATGAATTCGAACACTTTCCCACCATCAAAACAGCTAAATTTACAAGAATCCTTCTCGAATATACAAACCCAATGCTCCAATTTGCTCAACAACGTTTCGCGAACCCTTAATCCTCTCTTTCACCACAGCAAAAACAACTCTTCTTCCTCTGCTGCTTCTGAGCATCCAAATCTCTTCTCTGCGCTCAATTCCTTGCGGGAACAAGCTAAGCAAGCTCTCGATTCCGGGTTATCTCGATTCAATTCTGGTAACGCACCCGCACCCGTCTGGGCGAGAATCTCTGACGACGGCGGCGCGAAGACGAAGACGCATGCGGCGGCTCCGGTTCGGCGATTAACCGGCGATGATTTGGAGGAGAGATTGGCGGGAGTTCCTGTTTACGCGCTGAGCAATTCGAATGAGGAGTTCGTGTTGGTCTCGGGTACTTCGACTGGGAAATCTCTGGGTTTGTTGTTCTGTAGAGAGGAAGACGCAGAGGCGCTTCTTAAGCAGATGAAGATTATGGACCCTCGTATGCGTAAAGAAGGCTCCAAAGTTGTCGCTCTTGCTCTTAGCAAGGTATAAGTTTTTCAGAAATCAAAAATCAATTAGCTTTTTATCTTTTGTTCATACTTAAGTAACTGTTCTCATAAAGAAACGATTTTTTTTCGTTTGTTTGGTTTGTGGTTTGTTGTTGTTGCAGGTCTTTCAGTTGAAAGTTGATGGTGTGGCGTTTAGGTTAATCCCTGAGTCTACTCAAATAAAAAATGCCCTCAAAGTAAGTTTGATTTACTCAAAAGCTGAAACATTGTGTTAGTTTCTTAGTGCAGCATATATAGGTCTTATGGATGTTAGTCTCTGTAGATGTTGTGTAAAGAGATTGCAAACGGCTCAAGACTTTGATTGTGTGGCATTTGGTTAAGGCACCGTGCTTACTCTCTCTTCTCTATGTGTATACAAATACAGGAAAGGAAAAAAGCTGGTTTCACTGATGAAGACTTCCATGGTGTTCCGATTTTTCAGGTAATATGCTAAAAAGAACCAATGATCTATTGGTCTCTCTGATATAGTTTTGGATACTAATTCTTAACAAGCTTTTGTTTTTGGTTTCAGTCAAAGAGTTTGATTCTACGAAGTGATAACAAGAGTTATCGCCCTGTTTTCTTCAGAAAGGTTTGGTTTAAACTTACAACAACCATGTTTCTTTCTTGTGTACACTACTGCTTATACATGATCATCAAAAGCTTGAAGCTGTGTTGGGTTTCTTACAGGAGGACTTGGAAAAATCCATAACACGAGCTTCTCGCCAACAGAACCGGCTTAACCCTGCTCTGAAACCAGGCGATATTCAGGTTTTTCTTGCTATGTTATTACCACACTGCTTTAATCTCCATGATTTGCTCACGTCTCATACTGAAATGCATGGTTCTGTTATATTCCAAAAGGTTGCAGTTTTTGAAGAAATCGTCAAGGGGATGAAGGTATTACAATGAAAGAGTATAATACAATTCACCATAGAGTTCTGTGATGCGTTTTCGTTTTTGCTGAATCTGGTTTTGGATTGAAATTGCAGGAAAACGCAGCGTCTAACTGGGACGACATTGTGTTTATACCGCCTGGTTTTGAGGTTTCGACTGAGCAAACACAGGAGTAGGTGATAAAATCCTTGGAGCATCGTAGAACCTTAACTAAGCTTTTGTGTACACTTTGATGAAGACTGAGAGAGTGAGAGAATTATATGTTTTTTTCTTTGTTTATGTCAACATTTTAGCTTTTAAAGCCTTCTAATTACGAATAAATTGTTTTTTGACATCTTGCTATTAAGTTCATCAGTATATGCATTACAAACTTTGGATCAGTGATGACTGTACTATGGAAATTGTAGATGGATAAGATTGGTTCAGTCAAAAATCAAAATTGGAAAAGCCATATTTGTTTGAAAGAGAAAAAAAAAAACGTATGCCAAAAATAGAATTTTCTTATTCGTACAACTCTATGAAAATGTATTTTTTCTATATGTATTATTTCGATACTATTACGCAAATCCCAACTTGAACGCTATTGCAATGAAACATCAAAAGCTCTCGTCCTGTACCATATGCATTTCCACGTTTTGTCATCAATACTGTGTTGTCTCTTAGAAACTTAAAAACCAATATTAACTAGCTAACTCCAATCATGAAAGCTTACGTTGCATTCAGGTCATCTTCCGACCAAACATCGGCCATTCCTTGGTCGGATCTTTCATCACCCACAAAGTCTTATTTCTTTCTTTTTACCTTAAAAAGCCCACCATTCAAAAACCATCCATCTTTTTGAAATAGATGGAGTATTAATTTCCATGATCAAGTATAACTTCTTCAACTAACCACATATTGTTAGTTGCATATGCTATTCATTTTTCTTAGATATTGATACATCCAACTGAAATTTCTTAAAATGTCATCAGAAAAAAAGCGAAAATTAACAAATACTTTGACAATGTAAAATTATCAGTTTTAATTTATTTTACAAAAATAAGAGATAAAGGACTAGAGTTTTTGATGTTGCATTGCAATAGCGTTCAAGTTGGATTAGCTTGATAGTATTGAAATACTCAGAAGTGGAGCTTTTAGCTACGTACCATATGCATTTCCACGTTTTGATGATCAAAATTTTGTTGTCTCGAATAAACTTAAAAACCAATATTAACTAACTAATTCCAATCATGCATGAAAGCTTACATTGGATCATAGAGTTGCATGGGGTTTGCGAAAGATTCGTGAGGGGTTCGTGTGGGCTTCAATGCTCTTCTTGGAACTATTTCATGTCTTACGGTGACATGGTAGTTAAATATAGGAGTGGGCAAAAAAAACTAAACCAACCGATCCCAAACCAACAAACAAAATATCATACACTATATATAATGGGTACCCATATATAATCAAATCAGGTTAAGTTTTCTCTCAATCCAAACAGTACGGTTTTGCCCAAAGTGTTTGTTTTATTATCTCTACGATAATACTTCATCTCTATTCCTCGTTTCATATCTTTCCTCGTTTCCGACCCGAATCATTGCCATATTATCTACAACTACAAGTTAGGCTTGTGTCGAGGCTGGACGGTCGAAATCGTCTCACTTACTAAATCCCTCACTTAAAATCTTATTTTGGGAACATTTGTTCCTCTTCGACCTCTCTTTGGTTGCATTCAGGTCATCTTCCGACCAAACATCGGCCATTCCTTGGTCGGATCTTTCATCACCCACAAAATCTTATTTCTTTCTTTTTACCTCACAAAGCCCACCATTCAAAAACCATCCATCTTTTTGAAATAGATGGAGTATTAATTTCCATGATCAAATATAGCTTTTTCAACTAACTAGTTGCAAATGCAATCCATTTTTCTTATATATATTATTGACACATCCAACAGAAATTTCTTAAATGTAACAAATTTGTACTACACATCATAAAAAGCAAAAATTAACAAATACTATCGATCTTATATATAAAAATATGCCAAAAATAGATTTTTCAATATGAAAATGTATTTTCTCTAAAAATAGACTATCGATCTTATATATCTCGCTGACTTGGCCACACATTTCTTTTTCATCTAGGTTTTTTTGTTCCTCTCACCTAATAGTAAGATCTATTTTTAGTGTGTATTAACTATCATATATAATGTGAATGAAAGAAGAAAATGTATACAACTATACCGATTGAGAAAAAACAAGAAGTCTCTCCAATTGACCATAAGTAAGAACTAAAAATTCTGGAAGCATGAGGCCTCTTACTTCGTTTATAGTTGTATGTGTTCTTTTGTTTCTCGTTTCGAACATTGTGAAAGGTAATTTACTATTCTCCTTTTAATTTTATCCTATATTTACAAAGTTACGGAAATATTTGATTATTCAATCACAAATGTTGATGTTAAACAATTGTATAACAAACAAACAATGTAATATCATTTGGTTAGCTACAAATATTTATCTACAATTAATCTTTTTGTTGTTGTTTTTTGCTTGAAATTTGTAGAAGTGAAAGCACAAGACCCTGCGTCTGCGTGTAAACGTTTTACTTCTTTTCCTGGAAAATGTGGCGCTAACGGAAACAAGACATGCGAAACCAGAATGACGATGAAAGAAACCGCCAAATATGTTCGCTGCGATTGTGCTGATATCAAATGGCGAAACCGAGACCACCATACCTGTACTTGCTTTATGAAACTTCCTTGTCCGTAACTCATCCACAAGACTCTCTTCTTCGTATGACAAAAATTAGAGATCAAGAACGAGAGTTTTTGTTGCTCAAATCACATTTTTTATGGCTCTTTTAGCTAGAATTTACTTGTATATTAATTCCATTTGCATCTTCTCATTTGGATGATCAAAATATGCATTCTTTCAAGATTGAAAAATCTCATTTGACAAAATAATTTTGGCTTTAAGCTTCTTCCAAAATGATTCAATCTTGAAAGTATAACAACAAAAGAGAGATTGTAAAAAAATTAAAACAGAGAATTTTAAATTCAATTTCTCGATTCAAGAAGCAGAAATCAGAAAAACCATTCTTCTTCGTCTTCTTCCTACGAATACTAACTTACAATCCAGAAACCAAGCAAGAAGGCACCACGAACTCAACAACAATGGTGGAATCGACATACTCACGAACCTTCTCTTTCTCCGAATTCACCAACTCCGTCTGAGCATCCACACCTTCCAATTCAGCCAGATCCTTAAAATACGCAATCGAAGCAATCGAGAAACCTTTCGCTCTCGCCGGAGAGAAGTTTTCCCCCACAGTGATCTGACCAATCTCCGGGAATTTCTCGTTGAGCCCCTTAATCACATCCATAACCTCCGATCTAGCTTCATCAGGGAGATTCTCTTTCAGCTTTAAGAATGTCACTTTCGCGACGGATCCAGGAGGCGGAGCTAGGGTTCCGGGGACTCGATCGGCGATCCAATCGACGGCCATGACGTCATCGCAGATCGGCAACACGGATTCCTTGACGACGCGGACGTGATCGGGATGCGCGGCGTAGGTGGTGAGATCCTCCTTAGATCCGTACCGGCTGTGGAGGATGTGAGTGAAGGCGGTGGCGGAGGATCTGACACGGTGGAGAGGTGCGGCGGAGATGTGAATCACTTGGTTGAGGGAAGCGAGGCCGTTGAGGCCGTTCATCATCGAGCTGATTTTGGATGAGTCGGTTTCGTCCTTGACTTTGAAAAGGACGATGTGCTCGACGATCTGGTTCGGAGGAGACGAGGAAGACATTGCGACGGCGGAGAAGGAGCGTCGCGAGGAGGAGGAGGAGAGACGGAGATGACGATGGATTGGAGAGTGTTTGGTTGGTGAGAAAGCGAGAGAAGAAAACGGCGAGGAAAATAGCGGTCGAGCTCTAACGCAAATCATATCTCTTTATCGTTTTGATTTTACGGCGTCTTGTGGACTGAAAACTTATTCGATCGCGACTGTGAGTTAAAAACAGTGTTTTGATCTCAATAGTATTACACACGTGTCAACTTTGAGATAAAAAGGTTTGGTGGAGACTGCAGAGTTGGTGAGGAGGATAACACTTTTACTGTATTTACAACTAATTTTCACTCACTAAATTACTGTAACATATTTGCTATTATAATCGGTTTTGTATTTTTATATGTTAACTTACTCAAATATAATTTTCATATTAACAGAATGAAAAATATGTAATATGTGATTTTTTTTCAAAAATAAACTACCGATCTTGTTTATCGCGTTGACTTGGCATACATTTCTTTTTAATATTTTATTTTTTACCTGATTTATATCATAAGTATCTATTTTTAGTGTATGTTGAGTACTATAATTATAGAGAAAGAAAAAGTGTATGATTGTTGAGAGATCAAAACAACAAAAAGTTTCTGCAATTATCATCATATCATTATTTTCTTGTAAACATGAGATCTGTTTCTTCAGTCGTAGTACTTTGTATTCTTATGTTCTTCGTTTTAAACCAAGTTAAAGGTAATTTTACTATTCTCCTAGCAAATTTGATTCTGCGAAATTATGAACATAGCGATCATTCTTATCCAAAACCCAAAACTAAAAAATTTAAGAAAATGTGTTCATCAAATGTTTAGCTAAATTTCTTTTTATCTACAACTAATATTAGTTTTTTACATGTTGGTTAATAGGACAAGAGGTAAAAAAAGCGGCTCCTTTGTGTAAATTTAGTCAGAGATACGACGGAAAATGTGGAAATATGGGAAACTTTTGGTGCCACAGCGAAATGGCGCAAAAGGAATTTCCATCATTCCCTCGTTGCCAGTGTACTGACCGAAGAGTTAGAAACAAAGAACAACATGTCTGCACATGTTGGATTAAAGATCCTTGCAATCAATAACTCAGAACCCAAAATATTCTAGTATTACGTAGTAACATATATGTTCGTCTGTTTTTTGTGTTTTGTTCCTTTTTGCCTAATCAAATTGAATTAGTTTTCACTTTAATCAAAAGAAATTAGTTTTTGAGGTAATAATACTCACATATACGTCCGTTTGAAAATAATATTGTTACATTTGTTAAACAAACCGGCTACCGAAAATTTGCCTGATTAGCCAAACTAATTAACTTGATATAGCAGTAAATGGGATAAATAAACGATAACCCACAAATCATTTACTGATAACAAACAGTATATGTACTCCATTACACAATGAAATGTAGGAGCGTGCTTCTAGGCTAGAGTTAGAAGATGGGTCTTAGATTTAGAACTCGATCGTAATCAAAGAACAAAGGAACAATACACATTTTTGTTTTGACAATTTGAATTGCCTATTTTTGGTTTTTTTCATTTATTTAAACAGAACATGAAGCAAATACATGGAAGCAAACGTGGAGTACTCAACTCCTACAAAATTGGAAATGAAAAATGTGGTGAAAGTGGTTCCGAGACCGATTACTCATTATTCAACGGAAGCAAATAACAAATTCAGAAATGCAAACAAGTGAACAAACCGAACTTCTTAATTGGCATACTCCCGGTTAATTTGAAACCTTTCGTGATGGTTCTTTCCATCATTAGAAGACTAAAGACACAAGACTCTCAGTATGATTCGGAAAAGATACAAAATTGAACCAGTAATCATCGATTCCACGGTATGTGACTTTTCTTGTAATATTTGTCTTGAGATCGTAATAATAGAATTCATCAAATGGTCCATGTCGATCCGGCCTGCCCGTTGGTGCATAAATCAACTCACCATCACCAGTAGCACCACTTAGCTTCAGATACCCATGCCTGCGAAAAGGAACCAAAAGTCTTCTACTAGACCATTCTTGTTTCTCAACATCCTCTAAAACCCATAGTACTGAAGAAGGTCCATCATATATCCAGCCTAATTTTCCACGGTAGTTTATTAAACTATGTAGCGCACTAGGTAGATAAGACATGTCACAATCTGGTTTATTTATAACCAAGAATTTCTCGGACCTCACATCAAAGCTCACTGTGTTATGATCCATCCCGTAGTAGTAAAGAACTCCGTTGATGCATCTCCAACTTCTCATTGTCATCGAGAGATGAATAGGGCTGGTTTTGGTTTTTCTCCATGACTCATGAGCTCTCAGTGTGAAGATCTGAGGGTCGTCTTCCCCATTCTTCTTTGCAAGATCTTTTCTAAGTGACACTGACATGCACAACACTTTGTGTTCACCAGCGATTGGATCGTATCCCAAAAGGCTTGTTAAGGGTTTAGTGATCTTATAAGGCTGTGGCAATGTGACAGTCTGTCTCAAGGTAGGGTTCCAAATTATGACGCTGTCAATATTTTCAAAACATACCAAGCCACATATGGAGTCACGAATGTTAAAGACGTTCCCGATGTTGTTATTATAAGTTGGGTAATGGTCTCCTTTTGGAACCATCATCTCAAAATTCTTCACAAAAGCAGAAGGACTTTCGGGGTCCTGTTGATGATGCGGCAACGAGAAGAAGGTTTGCTTACCCTTTACTTTCTTGACGGAAAGAATAGACTGCCGAGCCGACGAGTGAACTGCGAACGACTTGATGAACCATGGAGTGGTGGTGGTAGATGACCAGAGTTTAGAGACGCAACTAAACCTCGCCACCGATTTTGCTGGCAGTCTTAAGAGTATTTCTACGGTCACTTCAAGAGGAACCCATGGATACGATTTGGTGCTACACTTCTCTTCGTCCATATATTCTCTCTTTTCCAAAGCTTTTTCTGTATCTCCTTCTCCATTCTTATTAGTCATGATATATACTCTTTCATGTAGAATCATAAAGATTTATGTTATGCAATTATTCGATTTTTTAAAACTTACCATTTCAAGATATCAAATATTTCTTCGACTTATTCTTTACTATATAAGAGACTTAAAATTATGGAAAAAAGCGCCAAATGGAAAATTTTATATACTAGTAGTATTAACTATTGAAAGATGCTTTCCTTGTCTTTTATATTTCGCATTTCGGATGAAGATTACTTAGAACTTTAATACTCGTAATCAAAGAACATGCATAAAGAAAAAATGAACAATAAGTCATTTTTGTTTTGGCAATTTGAATTGTCGATTTTTTCATTTATTTAAATAGAACGTGAAGCAAATACATCCAAGCAAACGTGGATACAAACTTGGAAATGGAAAATGTGGACAAACCGACAAAGTGGTTGTGACTTATGAGACATTTGGTTATTAGGTTATTCCATATACATATCCAGTAAGTATGCGGGCAAATAGGTTGGTTGGGTTATTGAAATATTTGGTTATTTTTTCTCTCACGTAAAATGAAGATCTGTGTAAATTATCTTAACGATTTCAAAACTTTTTTAAAACACTATATATGATCTTAGTATGTCACGATATAGTAAGTAAGAATTATTTATGCCGTACTCACATCATACGCATTCAACTTTATTTTGACCCTCAAGATAACTATCCAAGTAAAAACTTTTCGGAAAACTTGGTTGCCATTGAAATTGAGAGGAAAATGAGCCGTAGAAGATACAACATGATAGTTAAATAGAGAATTAACAATTTTAAAATTTACAGCAATTAAAAATTCTACAAATGATTTTACCTAACCTATATTCACAATACTATTTAACTCTTAATAAGGGTATCTCCAAAGTAACACTTTGCTGCACAACATCAAATTCATAGACAGAATACTTAAGAAGCGATATCTACAAATCATAGCATCAACCGTTTCAGAGTAAAATCATAATAAGTCTTGTTCTTCAATTGGTTATCCATGTGGAGAGCTTTCAATTTGTTGAAGACGTGGTTGGCCTCAAATTTCAAAGTGAATGAAATTATGGAATACACCAGATGAAAATTTTCTGGAAGGTAAGTAATCACTTGCGTGTTATCTTTGTTTAGGATAACATCTCGGTGGATCTTTGGATTTCTTTAAAATATCAGGAAAAATCCATTCATCATCCTACCAACTAGAATCAAGATGCTGGCAAGAACTGTAAGAAAACGAAAAACGAAAAGTTAATTATTAGGCATTTTATTGGGAATGGAACTGTATCGATTATCAAACCAACCATAAATGAATTACGTGAGCAAGAAGAGTCAAAAGACAAAGATTTTATTTGCAACAAGGACATAAAACGGTGAGCGCTAAAGCCTCGCACCGATAGATGAAACTCTGATATCACGTTCCGGTGATAGACGCTCGCCATACAACCGGCTTCCACCTTCCTGGTGCACAAAAAATGTTGCATTCCTTGAAGGAATATGGGGAGACAAAACATGTATTTCAGTTTGCATCTGCATAAGATTAAAAATTAGGTGTGAATTAGCACTTATATATTTAAAGACATACACCTTTATAACAATTAACTTTGGAAATATGAAATCTGATACTTTGTTTATAGTTTTCGGTGTTTTCATGTTCTTGGTTTTGAACCATGTTAAAGGTAATCTATTATTCTTCTTTTGATTTAATTTTTATTTATCAAAACATTGATTATAAGCAGTATGCAGATTTTATATGCATATTTGATATTTTAGTTATGATCATCATACAAATGCAATGTTTTGATTTTAAATAGATATAAGCAATATGCAGATTTAATATTCATATATAATATTCAGTTTTTTCTACTAAGTATATGTTGTTCATTAATATTTTTTCTTAATAAAAAACTTGACCTATTCAACTAAATTTTTGTAAATAAGCTTAATTCGTCAACGGAAATGGAAATGTATGTATTCCAAAATTAGAATGCTCATCTTTTTAACCTCGTTGACTTGGCCCCAACATATATTTGCTTTTCTTAGAGCTTTATTTTTTCCTATTAATTTTGAAATATCTATTTTTAGTGTGCATGTTGTGTTTAGTATACATATATATAATTGAGTATTAACAAAGAAAATGCATGTAGCTACTACGAGTGAAGAAAAGCCAAAAAAATCTGGGATTAACAAATATTTCTTAACCTTTGGAGATATGAAATCTGCTACTTTATTTATAGTTTTCGGTGTTTTCATGTTCTTGGTTTTGAACCATGTAAGAGGTAATCTATTATTCTTCTTTTGATTTTATTTATCAAAACATTGATTAATCATATAAAATTTAACTTGTAAATTAAACGTTACAAGATTAGTATTATCAATTGTTCAGCTAAAATCTTTATCTACGATTAATTTTTATTTTTATTTGTGGTTGTTTGAAAATAGTAGAGGTGAATGCACAGGTTCCTCAATGCAGAATTTATAATCATTTTCCTGGAAAATGTGGCGCTAATGGAAGCTAGATGTGTGAAAACCAAATGAAGTCACGTTATAATCCAAAATTTGCTCGATGTGACTGTACTAACATGAGATGGCAAAACCAAGACCGCCATAACTGCTACTGTTTTGTTACTCTTCCTTGCAATATGTAAGCTCATATACCAAAAAATATATTTACTACTACTAATAAAAGACAGGACAAGGGTTATTTTGTGTGTTTATATATATATATATATATATAAACATGTCAATCTGTTTTTCATTTTACCAATTTTATTTAATTTTCTAATATACTAAAAATAAAATAATTATTGGTTACTTGTATATTTGAATTAATAGTTCGATTATCCCTCTATCAATCGTTTCCTTGTTCATGTCCGATACTAATATAATCACAAAACGCTGCCATAAACTGAGAAAACTCAAAACCATAAACTGAACCAGACGTACACTCCTCTTTAACGCTACTACAAGGCGTTTCTTGGTCACATGTAAACACGAAGTCTACACGTTAAACCACCCTGTGGGAACTTGGAATGAGATTCACGACACGTAGATACCAATCGATGACACACAACCTGAAGTGTAAGACCCAAACAAACCACCAAACTCACGTCGATCACGTATTGCCGGAAAGATCTCGATCTTGGGAAGACTTGAATCCATACCATTGTGCCTAATCGGTCCGTGCTTCCCACGGCTAGTGTGAAATGTCAAGTTTCTTATTCCTCCATATATACTTTCCACACAATCCAGTCACATATTCATCTTGATTCAATCTCGCCTGCATGCGGTTAACTTGATCAGCGACTTAACTTAACAGGAGTTTACACACAAAAATGCCTAAATTGATTTTGTTCGTATCATCTCTACATAGTATTGTTCGTATCTTATTTCAAATGCATGTATGAATTATTCAATACTATATAACTATAAGTTTATAACGTACCAAAAGGTAATGTAATATTAAAAGCGCGAAGTCGGTTTAGGAGCCGCAGAGGCTGCGGACCCACCGCCGCCGGTGAACATATATGGTGGTTGTTTACCCACCATAATTATTCTATTTTTCACAATGCTTTTATGAGTTTTATTATTACTTTGTTATGTTAATCATTACTTGGGTTAGGAATCATTATAATTCTTATGTATTCATTACAATCTTGATAATCATTCAAAGCTAAGTGATTCCACTAGTTAATCATTGTTAAAAAATACTTAAAAGTTAGGTAGGAATTCATTCAAAGTTAGACACGAGTTTAACATAGACTCCTAAAATTAAATGGAGTAGTTTGATGTCTCATTGAATACCACAGAGCATGGACGTTTGCAAGTATTGATCAAAGTACTTTTAAGAGAGCGTTTCTCTTTTGAATCGACATTAATGAATCTAAAATGTTTTCAACATCTTAGCATGCATGTGGTACCGTTGAAGTGCTTAAAAAACTTTAAATGCTCGATAAATCAGAAAATCCTATATTGTTAGTTGCATGCTTGTGCATTGCCGGTAAAATTGTTAGTAAATCAGAAAAGCCTATATTTAACTCGAAGTCATGACTCTCATATATTCTTTCTGAATTCAGATCCATACGCAAAAATTAAAATACAATCTAAGAAAAACAGAAATCATTATATGCAGTCATGATGTGTTTAAAATATGAATAAGAATTAGTGTTTTAATATAAATGCACAAAATATGGGTGTGCGACGAGTAGCATAATTTGATATCATGGCTAAGGAAGACCAATGATGATGTGTCGATTCCAAATTCCATGAATCTGCATGCATCATCCCCTAACTATTAAAAGAGTAGCATTGAACTCGTGACATTTTCGCTTTACCCATGGATATAGTCATAAAAAATATTAAATATTTTTCGAAATGGGATGCTGGACCACAATACACCAATTTAAGGCAATAACCATTCCTTATTTAATATTTTTTGAGCAAAGCCAAACAATAGTTCAACGTATAACCCATCGTTTGCTCCAAGGATCCGACTAATTATTTCATGTTGAACATTTCTTACAACTTTTCTTTTTTTTGTCAAATTTACAGTTTATCAGTCTTTCTGCGTTATCTTCTCCCTCGCTAAATCGCAATCAACTAGAGCATATAAGATCTGCATCTAGCATTGAAGTGTGTACACAAATTGGTAAGTAGAGAAAACCAAGATTTATAGTGACTAATGTCGGATTATAATCGGCAAAACCATGTTTTCAATTTCACGTGTTTATGTACTGCTTCGTGTCAGACCTTTCTTTGTATCTAAATCGATTAACATAGATCTAAACATTTCGTTACGTTTTTTTCAAAAAAAACAATTTTGTCACATGCATTTCCTTATATTCCATCTGTTTTGCAATATAAGGGGATTTGAAGTTTTTCTCTTGTTTCATAATATAAGGGGTTTTCAAATTTTTGTGCAAAATTAAATATGTTTTTGTTACTTTTGATTATTTATATTGTGCAAAATATTTTTTCATTAGTTGGGATGTTTTGAAATTGATGAGCAAATATATTTTATTGTAAAAAGTACAAAAATTAAATGAATTCTTAATCTTTGTGCAAAAACTAAAACCCCTTATATAATGAGGGAGTAATGGATTAGCTAAGAGCATCTCCAAACCAGCCTCATATTTCACCTTTATTGCTATTTTAGAGTTAATTTTGCTCCAACCCAATCTCATTTTCAATCTCAAAATGGCAAAATGCCATATTTTTTCCCAAATTGAGGTTGATCCCATTTTCATTTCCATTTTGGAGTTGAAGTTTTTAAATTATATAACAGTCCTTAAACTATTTCAGTTTATATATAAGTAATAATTATTTTGATGTTTATTTTTACCCTAAAATACAAATAAGACATATTTAATAAGAAATTAAACTATTTAAGCTAATAATAAATTTAAAAAGAAAGGAAAATATTCATAATTAATTTAAATAATTATAATAAATTGTGAAAGTTTTGAAGAAAAAAAACTTATGGGCAATTTGTAATATATATAAATATACAATGTAAATTTAGTAATTAATAAAAGGTTTTGAAGTAAAAAATGAGGCAATACATTGGAGCAAAACCCAACTCATTTTGAGATTTCTTCATTTTGGAGTCAAATATAGGGCAATACATTGGAGATGCCCTAAGAGATGGATCATACAAATAAGTTTATCACTCTTTAGTTATTTTCCTTAGACTTTAGTCTTTACACAAATACTTAAACAATCCTAATTTGATTTTAACTAGATTCTAACTTGTATGTCTGTCAAGTTTTGTACTTTTTCATCATGTGCACAGTAAAAGAATTTTAGTGTGGAGTACTTACATATTATGAATTCGTATATACTAACTTTCTGACAAATTTAACAGTGTTATTATTATTATTCATCATGTGCACACAAAAGAATGCAAATGCTTCATAATGGTTATTAATGAATGAAATGAAAACGAATAACGATAAATTTGGCTGCAGCCACCACTTGTAGTTCATTTTTTTTTGAAGAGGAATAATTAGTAAAAAAGTTTAATGAGTTTATTCTTAAAAAATGGAGAATTTGTAATCTTCTTTCGATGAATTAGCATAACAGGTGCATGTCGTTTGTATATTAATATATTTTTGGCAGATTAAGAATGTTTAAGCACTGTCATCCACCCACAAAGCTTATTTATGTCTAGATCTAATTAGTTTTTTGTTTTTTTCTATAATGTTTTCTGAATCACATTCGTTGAGATTTGATCTATTGATATATACAATAGTTTTAAGAGCCAACAAAGTAGAGCTCAATCTGAAGATTTTATGAAGTAGTAGAAATTACTGAAATGCTGTTCTTTTTTTACGTTGTTATTATATCGAGCGACTTTAATATCTACAAAACTGCTTTTTGTAACTTTAATCCTCTTTTCCGCGTCGAGGCATAAGCTTATGTACAAAGCTGAACAGGGGAGCTGAACAGAGTAAATAAATGGTTATACTTATATCTAATAACTTGTTGTACAAGTTTCTCTTCATAAACCTATTAATTAGGACTCGGTCTACTTACGTACCAAACATAAAAAGGAAAAAAAAAACTTCATATTCGGGTTGACGATATATTAGGATTGACTTTGAACGCAGAAGCCACCATCTTTTCAAAATCTCTGTGTGTGGAATGTGGATTAGAGACTGTCTCGTGTGATGGAAGAGTTGCGTTTACAATTCGAATCTTACCATATAAAACGTACTACTATTCAATAAAAGAGGTGAGGATTAATGGAGACAGACACGTGACATGAAGCAGGTTTGAGAGGTCACAACTCACAAGTGCACCCTTATATTTTTATTGGACCAAACAAAATAAACTAATGGAACGATAAATATTTGAAATTCCTACAATTACATTAACGGATTATAACTATTGGACCGTAAAGGATTTAAAATCTGAAAACATCATACCAAGTTTAATGTTTTCAGATTTTAGGAATTTTGTTTTTTGGTCCAATAGTTACAATGGTGCTATCCAACAATTACGTTATAAGTAACGGTAAGAAATCAATCTACGGCGACAATGAGGTAAAAAAGTATTTACCATGCAATTCGATGAAAAAATAAATAAAATCACCTGAAATTCAATGTTTTGTTGGTTTGCTAGAGGTAGATCTCACTCTATTCAGTTAAAGTTACGTTCACAATATCCAATCCATACCAAAAAGAGCACTTAAAATTTTGTTATCTCGTTGGTTTGCTTAGCATAAACCACTTATCTTTGTACCTTTGAAGTCACACTTGAACAAATTTTAGCTTTGCTTGTTTAACTTATACCATACAAACACACAAATAAAATCATAAGAAATTCGAACTTTATTTAAATCTGAAGAAAGGAAAAGGCCAAAATAAAAAAAGAGAGGCTCCAGGTTTGATGGGAGAAGAAACAGAGCTGGCAACAGCTAAGCTATTCACTGATAGATCACTCTCTTCTGTCCCGCACTCCTCTCTTTCCCTTTTTTGTTTCTTTCTTTCGACAGCTTTCATTTTTTTTTTTATCTTCAGTTTAAAATTTGAATATTTTCAGTCATAATATGGATAAGTCATAAGAAAAAGCTTGTATGTAAATACTCTGTTTATTAACAACACAAGTTATAAATTAAGAAAGGAAAACAAGAACAAAACTACTCACTAATCATATGTTTATTTACAACAACACAACTTAATTAAGTAAGCCACACAAAATACATTGTCTCTTTTACAAATTAGAGTTGTGCTTTATTTGTCAAAACCCATACATCTTTAATGATCATCAACTCCAAAAGACATCTTATGTTTTTTTTTCAATTATTTTTTTCATTTTTAGTGCGTGGTTAAGGATTATAGATAGATTGTTAATCCATAATCTATAATTAGAAAGAAAAATAATAATAATGAAAAAACAACTGTAGTTGGCTTTCCCAAGACTGCTTCACCTCCTATAAATACCCTATCCTCTTTGAAAACCCATAACACATCAAAAACTCCTCGAACAAACAAAACATACAAAAACAAACCCCATAACTTTCATTTCTATCATTCAACCCCCTAACAATGGGTCGAACCTTGAACCTCACCGTTTTGGTGACGTTTCTAGCTCTGACAATGCTCGGAACTGCTTACTCCGGTAGCTTCAACGAAGAGTTCGACTTGACTTGGGGTGAACACAGAGGCAAAATCTTCAGCGGAGGCAAAATGCTATCACTCTCACTAGACCGGGTTTCCGGGTCGGGTTTCAAATCAAAGAAGGAGTATTTATTCGGAAGAATCGATATGCAGCTCAAGCTCGTCGCCGGAAACTCCGCCGGAACCGTCACCGCCTACTACGTAAGCTTTAAAACACACTCACATTCCCCAAAAAAACAGAGACCCAGTTTTTTTTTTTTTTTTTTCAAAACTAATGTAAGATAAATGTTGCAGTTGTCGTCGGAAGGACCAACGCACGACGAGATTGATTTCGAGTTTCTCGGTAACGAGACAGGGAAGCCTTACGTTCTCCACACTAATGTCTTTGCTCAAGGCAAAGGAAACAGAGAACAACAGTTTTATCTCTGGTTCGACCCAACCAAGAACTTCCACACTTACTCTCTTGTCTGGAGACCTCAACACATCATGTAATTTAGACTTTGAAATATCTTAAAAAATCAAAACTTTTTAGATGGGTCTTTCTTTGTCGTCTAACATTTGTTTTGTGTATTGTCTGCAGATTCATGGTGGACAATGTTCCGATCAGGGTGTTCAACAATGCAGAGCAGCTCGGTGTTCCGTTTCCCAAGAAGCAGCCAATGAGGATTTACTCGAGCTTATGGAACGCTGATGACTGGGCAACGAGAGGTGGTTTGGTTAAGACAGATTGGTCAAAGGCTCCTTTCACAGCTTACTACAGAGGCTTTAACGCAGCGGCTTGTACAGTCTCTTCAGGGTCATCTTTCTGTGATCCTAAGTTCAAGAGCTCTTTCACTAATGGCGAGTCTCAAAAACAGGCGGTGGCTAGTGAGCTTAATGCTTATGGGAGAAGAAGATTGAGATGGGTTCAAAAGTATTTCATGATTTATGATTATTGCTCTGATCTCAAAAGGTTTCCTCAAGGATTCCCTCCTGAGTGTAGGAGGTCTAGAGTCTAAAACAAAAACCAATTGATTCTCTCTCACTCTATATCTATTGTTGTTTAGTGCAAATTCTCTTTGTTGTTGTTTTCTAATAATTTGATTACTTTCATTATTCCAATGCGCATTCATTCCTACGAGTCAAGTAAATGTGTCACGGGACTCACGGACACATGTACTAAAACAGATTAAAAAAATCCAAATTCTTGAATATGCCAAAATAAACAATAGTTAAGTATGAACACTTATACGAAACATGACTTCATCTACAACAATCCAAATGAAAAGGTACAAAGATTCACAGGCAAACATGTGGATAATAGTAACAATTTAAACACACAATGTTGTTGTTATCTGCAACTTGCTAAAAAGGTCACAGGAGATTTGCTTTTATAGTAGTACTGTTGCGTATGTACATAGAAGAAGAGGTGGTTTTTTTTTTTTGGAAAAGAAGATGATGATAATAAATATAATCACATGGACTAAATGTATAACGGCAATTTGATCTATGATCTATTACTTCTCTTCAGGGACACAAAAGAAAGAGACAGCTTTCACTTTTCAAAATTAAACAAGGACATGAAACTGGATAATGTGGAGATAGGTGACGTTAGAAAGAAGAAGAAAAAAGGGAACCTAGTTGCTTCAGGGTGATGATGTATGGATCAAGTTGTTAGGTTCAAATGCTTTTAGGATAGTCTTCTCGTGAACGTAATGAGCGAATTTCACTCTTGCTCGTTGTTCGTTCTGGAAAAAAAAAAAAAAAAAAAACATATGGAGAGTGAGAATCATGTGTTTTTGAAACAGCTTCAACCAGATATGCTTGTTTTTAAACATAAAGCAGAATGAGACAATTTGGATTATGGATAAACTCACGGGGATTCTGCAATGAACTTGAAGATCTTCGTTCATTTGGTGGAGACGGCTTTGCGCAAGCTCTGCTGCCTCAGATGCTCTCTTTGCAGCTTCTCCAGCCTGTTGAAAAGAAACATAACTGTCCATTAGATATATGCACATAGAACACTTTAGCTAAGTCTGCAACAACTTGTGTCTACTCTATACAGGTGTAGTTTGAGCAATATTTACACAAGTAAACTGATGAACCAAATAGATTGATTGATGTGACTCTACCAATAAAAGAAACGTCACTCACTTGACTTTTGTGGGATTCACTGTCATGTTTCTCCAACAAATCCCTGAGATGAGATATTTCTCCGACGAGATCCAAAACCATGACTTCAGTATCTTGCAGCTGATTTCTTGAGAACTCGAATGCTCTCTCTGCGTTTAGACGGAAGGAGGAGCAGTTCAAACAAGAGCATATCCCTCTGCATCCTCTTATACTCCGTTTCAGAATCCCCTTTGTGGGAGAAATGGAGGTAGGAGTTGCCAATATCACAGTAGGGTCAAGCATCTCAGCTGTTAGATCCGGACTATTTGCCTCTAGTTGCTCTGGGAAGCTTGTAGCTTCTGTTTTCTCTGCACCGTTAATGTTTTCTTCGCCCAATGAAGATGTAGCAAGAGGAGATGATAATGGGGCCTCAGCGCCTAAATCATTGCAAGGAACTTCCAAATTCTTTTCAGTGTTGGGGATGACATGCTTAACTTGTGTTTCTTGTTCCTTGCCAGGATCAGAAACTTCTGGGGATAAAGAAACACTTTCACAAGGAACTGTCTCTTTGTCTTCGTTAAAGCAATCATCTGGTGATTCTCTAGCAACATTTGATGTCACCGTTTCCAATTTCCCTTCACTCTCACAGACTAGCATCGATGATGGAGTACTCTCCTCTGTGTTTTTTTGATGATTGACTGTTTCAGGGACGCCTAGAAAAACCAGCAAAGACAAGGTATTGGTACATCACTATGAGCTACTCTGGATATACCAAACAACTGAGAGTTGTATCAAACTAGAAATAGGCTTACGAGGTTTATCTTCTTGAACATCTCTAAGATATGGAAGCATTCTTCTGTAATTAACAGAGCCTGGTGTTTTAAATAACTTCCGCTTAGAGCATGCCTGTTTCATGTCAAAAAAAAGAATCTCATGTTGGACACAGGAGATAAAACCTGAAAGTTTCCAATGGCTAACATGATCTTTAAAATCTTCATAGATGGAAAGAATCTTACAGGTTTCTTGTTGGGGCTGGACGCAATCACCCTCTTCAATGGGCTACTGTTTCCACATAAGTTTCCCGCCGAATTGTTGTTGTTGAAGACTCTGTCCACAGATTGCATAACAGGAAGTTGAAACTTGCCTGTCATCAATTCAGCTACTTCCTCTTTTGGATCCTCAGAACAAGCAATTTTGGTCTCCACGGTTTCTTTGTCACAGGGCAAATTTATAACTGCAGGACTCTGGCCAAAAGATTTCTCAGGTTTTGAACACCGGCCTGATGATGTTCCATCTGTAAAGAGACAAATTGACAATTTAGCATATCAAATTCCAACTTTCACTTTTGATTCACGAAAACAAGGATTGTAAAATGAGAAATTACCATCTGCAGCTTGCATCAAGTATGGGAGCATTCTCTTGTAGCTGAAGGAGCCATGGTTCTTGAACATCTTTGCACGAGAACATTGATGAAGAACCTGTACGAGTAAAATCAGCAACAACAAGCAAAACTAAACAAACTTTAATGTAACATTCAACAAAGGCACAAGAACGCATACCGATTTGCTGGAGAGATTCGTAACACTTTTCTTCACTGCTGATCCATTAGTCTCTTCACATATACGCTCTGCTTCATTCACCGCCGGGAAAGGTTCACTGCTCAACAATTCGGATTCAGGTGGCGTCGTCTCCAGGAAATCTTCTACTTCTACATTTCCTAATTTATCAGCATCGATTTTGTTTCCTTCTTTAACAACTGATTCACAACCAAAAGCCATCATCGGACCAATTAATTTCTCAATATCGCAATCTAGAGAAATTTCTCAAAATTCAGCCTATGGGTCGAGAAACTTACCATTCGAATTGAGAGATTCGCATTGAGATTCCTCATTTTGTGCCTTGGATTGATTTTCCCCTTTGGGTTTGAATTCCCAGTCTATGGAGATCGAGCTCGGAGAGAACACGCGTCGGAGACGAAGATCCTTGATGGTGACTCGAGGATACGTCCGAATGATTTTCGAAATGATCTTCCCGCTGAGAGATGGCGAATTTTTGAAACTAATTCCGTTTCCGGTTTGAGATACGGCGGGTGCGATTCGGCCACCGCCGGAGCGGTTTCTCTGATACTGCGATTTTCTCGTCGTGGGGATCTCGCTAGCTGGAGAAGACGATAATCGCATTCTCTTCCGAGTTATCTGATTTGATTCCGGCATAGCTAAACCTTCTTCGCCGTGAGAGAGAGAGAGAGAGAGAGAGAGAGATTTTGTTTAATTTTTTTATTTCGCGGGAAGAAACGACGTGGTTCATCTTTAGTGCGTGTTTCGGCGGGAAACTATTTGGCGGGAAGGAAGTAAAAGCTAAATTTTTGTGCGGGAAATAGTATAAAAGGCCTAGAGACCTAGGCCCATTATGGAACCAAACCGGATTGTTCAATAGGACGGTTTCAGTTATGATCCGAAATTAATTTATTCGAACCGGTTCAATTTAAAAGCCAATTTGTCTCACGCGCGCGAATATATAAAGCGTAGAGCCCACGTGTCCAGCCAAAACCCTAAATCTCTCTGGCTGAGGTCGTGGTGGCGAATTTGGCAATGTCGTCCGCCGCCGCCGCGAACAGTGAAGAGCCACCGTTGAAGAAGCCGTCGACGGAACCGATCTCGATTCATTCACTTCCGGATGATTTGTTACTGAGCTGCTTAGCTTGCGTGTCGAGATTGTATTACCCAGCTCTCTCCTTAGTCTCCAAGCGTTTTCGCTCACTCCTTGCTCCACTGAAGATCAACCAGGCCAGATCCTTCTTAGGCCGCACCGAAGGTTGTCTCTTCGTGTGCTTGCAGTTCCCTGATGAACCTAACCTTCGCTGGTTCACTCTCAGCTGGAAACCTGGTAATAAGGAGAAGGAGAAGGAGAAGGAGAAGAAGAAGAAGAAGAAGGAGAAGTCAAGTGGCAATATTTTGGTTCCAATATACTTCCTCAACTCTCCTCGTAAGGATTCAGCTTTCGTCGCCGTTGGTCCAAACCTCTACGCCATCGAAAACGTGAAAGGTAAGATTCTCTTATCGAGCGTTGATGGGGCGGCTTTTGATCTTAAGGAAATGAGAGGAGAGTCTATTGGATTTAATATGCCCTGGAGTTTTTTTCATGATTGTATGGTAGAGGACATAACCTTAAGTTATAAGACGTTTAAAGGTGAGTTTGACTGGGAAGGAGTTTGGAGGAAACTAAGGGGTTTCAAGATACCGAAGTTTGTCGGTTATAGTAGTGTTAGATTTGTGGCTTGCGGTGGGAAGATGATGGCTTTGTGGGAAAAGTATGTGCATGCAAGTGAGCATGATGAGATTTGGTGTGCAGTGGTTGCGCTTGAAAGGCGTAGCGATGTAGAGCTTTGGGGCAAGGTTGAGTCTTTGGATGCGGTGCTTAGAGTCCCTGAGGGTTACAATTTCGGTTATGCTTTTGATGCTACTTTCTGATGAGATTCAGTTTTCAGTCTCTTTCTTTCTTTTTTTATGTCACTTTTGATAATGAATCTCTATAGTTTAATGAAACTTTACAGTGAATGCTCAAAATTAGTGTCATTTTTTGCTCATTAATTACTCTAGAGATTGATTCTTTTACATTTTGGATGTGATTTCTAAATTTATATGGTTAGATAATTAACATTTTCAATCATGTATATTGATGATTGATTTTATGTACTATGCTTGCAATTAGTACCACATGACACCTGAGCCAATTTTGTGTAGACATGGTTTATCTGATGTAAAAAATCTCTTTTATTATAACGATAATCCAAAATCTCCTCCGAATAGAAACAGCTCTGCTTCTTGTAAACTCATATATATATATGGTCAAATCAATAACGCTACACTTGCACTGTCTACAAAAGATAAACTAGATTTGGGTCCTGGCAAGGATGCCAGGAAAAAGGAAAAAAGTTCTTACGGGACAGACACAAGAACAGACTGTCACATGCAATGCTGAGTATTACCAATTTTATCACGTCCACATATATAAAAGCAGATAATGCACTGTAATCATTCATGCAAATGCAACGCCAATAATGCATATATCTCTATAGTCTATTCACATGACAATATAGTACGCTACAAGTTTATAGATAGACATAGATTATATGACAAATTATTTTTCTTTATCTTCCAAAATCCAGCAGCGCCGCCAAGATTCTTGAGAATGATTTAGTTACAGTCACAGCTCATTGATGTTTTAAAATAAAAGAAATATAAAAACTAACAGCTCATCGTTGCTTTTTAAGCTCACATTTATCCTCTTTGCAATAAACCATATTATAATTACATTGGATTTGTTTTCAGCTTCACATGACTCGTCTTTTACTTGGAAATTAATATTACGAATGACTCATCTTTATAAATTTCCATTTATGAACTCGAGCTTTCGAAGTTCGAATCATGGCAGTGAAAAAGAATCTCGTAGCAGCAAGTAGCGCACCGAATCCGGTTGCGAGTCAACACAATCTACATAGCCCATAGATTCGTGGTCCTCTTCCACCAATAGGCTCGTGGTTCGACCTCATTAAGTATAATCATTCGACACTTAAATAAACTAAACTCTATAATCATCCTCCTTAATTTGTGCTTCATATTCGTTAATTACCGACCAACCTACCAAACAACAAAAAAATTATGAATCCCATTATCTCCATTATCACAACCAACCGCCTCAATAATTATCTCCATCAATTTATTACAAACCGAATCCCGTTATTTATACAAACTATAGTTTTGCTATGTTAAATTTATTTAAGATACTTAAAAAAACGCGTATTTTCTGTTTTTTCTTCCTAGTGAAACTACCAAATATTTATTTTTAAATGGAGCTGTGTAACGGAACGGGACGAAACAGAATGATAAAAGTTAGAAAGAAAAAAAGTTTATAATAGAAATGATCTGTTGAATATTGAAGTTATGACACCTCACTCTGCGCTTGCTTTCCATTCATCATCTTCTCTCTTCTCTCTCTCCTCTCTCTTCTCCAAAATCGAACAGAAAATTTACCAAACCCTACCTTCTTCTTCCTCCTCCTCCTTACCTCTTCTGCTTCTTCCTCCTTCAATCAACGCGCCGCGCGTGTTCACAGAGCCATGGAGGCTCTCACGCCTCATCTTCTCCTCTTCCTCCTCTTCTCCGTCTCCTTCATCTCCGTATCCGTCGCAGACGACGGAGCGGCAATGCTCGCTCTAGCGAAATCGTTACGTCCTCCGCCGTCAGATTGGTCAACCACCTCATCCGCCGATTTCTGCAAGTGGACCGGCGTCCGATGCACCTCCGGCCGCGTCACTTCAATCAGCCTCGACGATAAATCTCTGTCAGGCGGCGTAGCACCCGAGATCTCGACTCTCTCCGAGCTCAAAACCGTCGCTCTCCAGCGTAACAAGCTCTCCGGCAAAATCCCTTCGCTCGCGAAACTCTCTAACCTCCAGGAGATCTACATGGACGAGAATGATTTCGACGGAGTTGAGCCCGGAGCTTTCTCCGGCCTCACTAGCCTCCAGATCTTGAGCTTAAGCGATAACGGGAAACTCAGTCCATGGAGCTTCCCATCGGAGCTAGAGGATTCGACTTCCCTCACCACCATTTACCTCGACAACACCACCATCTCCGGCGCTTTACCCAACATTTTCGATTCCCTCCCTTCTCTCCAGAACCTCCGTCTGTCTTACAACAACCTCACCGGGCCGTTGCCTCCGTCGCTGGCCAAATCTTCGATTCAGAATCTCTGGATCAACAATCAGGACTCGGGGATGTCAGGGACGATCGAAGTGCTCTCCGGCATGACCTCCTTGTCGCAAGCGTGGCTCCACAAGAATCAATTCGTCGGACCGATCCCGGATCTCTCGAAATCCGAGAATCTATTCGATCTCCAGCTCCGGGATAATCAGTTAACCGGAATCGTATCGCCTTCGCTCTTCTCACTCGGAAGCCTCAAGAACATTTCTCTCGACAACAACAGATTCCAAGGCCCTCTTCCTTCGTTCCCTCCTGGGGTTGAGAAAGTATCAATCGGGAAAAACGCTTTCTGCACAACGGAAGCCGGCAAAATCTGTAGCCCTCAGGTGATGACGCTTTTAGCGGTGGCCGGAGGTTTGGGATTCCCGTCGATGTTGGCTGAGTCTTGGCAAGGAGACAATGCTTGTGGCGGATGGGCTTACGTCACCTGCGATTCGGATGGGAAGAATGTTGTCACGCTGAATCTGGGGAAACATGGATTCGCCGGGTTTATATCTCCGGCGATTGCGAATCTCACTTCTCTCAAGAGCCTTTACCTCAACGACAACAACTTAACCGGCGTTATCCCCAAAGAGCTGACGTCTATGACTAGTCTCCGGTTAATCGACGTCACAAACAACAATCTCTCCGGAGAGATACCAAAGTTTCCTGATTTGGTGAAGTTTAATTACAAACCTGGAAACTCTTTGATTGGAACTAACGTTAAAGATTCTTCAAAGCCTGGAACCGGCTCTAAACCCGGTAGTGGTCCTGGTGGCTCCTCTTCCGGTGGTGGCGGTGGTGGTGGTAGTAAAGCTCCTGTGATCATTGGTGTGATTGTGGCGGTTTTAGTTTTCCTTGCCATTTTAGGATTTGTGGTTTACAAATTCGTGATGAAGAAGAAGTATGGGAAATTCAGACGGACGGATCCTGAGAAAGCCGCCGGGAAGGTTGTGGTTAGCGACGCCGTTGCTTTGTCTAACGGTGGTGGTAGTGGTGGTGGATACGCTAACGGAAACGGAAACGGAGCCAACAACTTCAATTCGTTGAACAGTGCAAGCAGCGGTGACAATAGTGACCGTTTCCTTCTCGAAGGAGGAAGTGTTACCATTCCAATGGAGGTTCTCCGTCAGGTTACTAACAACTTCAGCGAGAAGAACATTTTGGGGAGAGGAGGTTTCGGTGTAGTCTACGCCGGAGAGTTACACGACGGAACGAAGACTGCGGTGAAGAGGATGGAGTGTGCAGCGATGGGTAACAAAGGAATGAGCGAGTTTCAAGCGGAGATCGCTGTGCTCACTAAGGTCAGGCATAGGCATTTGGTTGCTCTGTTGGGTTACTGTGTGAACGGGAACGAGAGATTGCTTGTATACGAGTACATGCCTCAGGGAAACCTCGGACAGCATTTGTTTGAGTACGGTGAGCTCGGTTACGCTCCGTTGACGTGGAAGCAGAGAGTGAGCATCGCTTTGGATGTTGCGAGAGGCGTGGAGTATTTACATAGCTTGGCTCAGCAGAGCTTCATACATAGAGATTTAAAGCCATCTAATATCCTTCTCGGTGATGACATGAGAGCTAAAGTCGCTGATTTCGGTTTGGTTAAGAATGCGCCTGATGGGAAGTACTCTGTTGAGACGAGATTAGCAGGGACGTTCGGTTATCTCGCACCGGAATACGCCGGTAAGTTGGTTTTGAATATCCGGTTAACTGTAAAAAGGTGTTGTTTTTATCTGAGGTATTGATTGTGTTTATTGTTGCAGCTACTGGAAGAGTGACGACGAAAGTGGATGTGTATGCGTTTGGTGTTGTGCTTATGGAAATGATCACAGGACGTAAAGCGTTGGACGATTCGTTACCAGACGAGAGGTCTCATCTAGTGTCATGGTTCAGGAGAGTGTTGATTACTAAAGAGATTATCTCAAAGGCGATAGATCAAACCATAGAGGACGACGAGGAGACGTTGGAGAGCATTCAGAGAGTCGCTGAGCTTGCGGGGCATTGCACGGCGCGGGAGCCGCAGCAGAGACCGGACATGGGCCACGCGGTTAACGTGCTTGGACCGCTGGTGGAGAAGTGGAAACCGTCGTGCCAAGAAGAGGAAGAAGAGGAGAGTTCGGGGATCGATGTGAACAACATGAGTTTGCCTCAAGCTTTGATGAGATGGCAAAACGAAGGAACGTCGACGTCGATGTTCAATGGAGATTTCTCTTACTCTCAGACGCAGACTAGTATTCCTCCTAAGCCTTCTGGTTTTCCTAACACGTTCGATTCAACTGATGGTCGATGACATTAAACTCTGTTTTGTCAAATCGATGTTTTAAGTTTTTGTTCTTTTTTCTTTTGTTTTTTTTTTTTTTTTTGTGTTTTTTGTGATATGATGGTTATATATTGTAAGCACGTATATGCTGTATTTGTGTCTGACCCACTTGAGCTTTTGCATTTGTTCATTCTTTTAAAAGGAAAATTGTATCATCACGTAGCTTGATTTTTTGGAAGAAAAAGAAAATTTGAAAACTACTAGTAGTGATAGTGAAATTATTTTGAAGTGTTATGAAGTTTGTTTTTTTGGTTTTAAGTGTTATGAAGTTTGATTGTTTGAAAGAAAACAAAATTTGCCGCGTGAAACAGATAAGTAAATGTCTCGATCATTTGGTGTGTTTTACAGGCTGTGTTTAATTGTGAAGCTATAGAAGCCAAAGTCTTATTGCCACCTTTCATGGCTCAAATTTTGGATAATATTAGGGTGGTTTGTTTTGTTGATAAGCTCGAGTACTCACGTCTCTTATTTGGTTTTGATTAACTCATCTTATCTACTTGGATTAGTATTTTAAAAATAGAAGGAGGTTTCTTTCTAATTGAAGGTTAACTAACTATTAAGAATTCCGCTAACAAAAGTATATAAAATGAATTTAGGATATTGATTGAGGTTGATATAATGAAGCACTTCAGAACATGGAAGAGTATAAAACGAGTCGGATAATTTAGGAAGTATTGACGGTTGGGAAAGTATTAATAAAATAAATGGTTGGGAAACAAGAAAATAGGAATTGTGCTGGAAATTGATTTGGAAAAACAAACAGCTACAAGTCTACAACTTTAGGTGAAGCATATGGGTGGTGATGCTACAGAATGTCAAAAAGTCAGATCCAACTTAATTACAAAAAAAAAGAGAGTAAAGAAGCATGTTACTATGTTCCCATAAACTTTCCCATCTTTTTAAAAAGGAATAAAAGTGGGGTTTATGTTTTTTTGTGGATTTGTATAAAAATAAACTGGGGTTACGTGTTAATATTTCTTCATAATCGACTGTGGAATTTTTTTTCCTAATATCTGACACTTTCCTACACTTTGGTTTAAATATTACAGAATAAACTTTTTTACTTAGCAGTTTGGCAGTGAACATTTTGTATGCAACGTACGATGCAGAACATTTTATATTCTTTTGCCATATTTTTTGAAGAGTGTCATATACAAAAAGTAAATTGGAAAACAGCTAAAAGATTGAGATGTTTGATTTGAAATTTCTAAATCAAACTCAAAAGCTTTTTCATCAAAAAACGGACATTTGATTCTTTAATCATAAAAAGACAAAAAGTCCATAAACCTTTTTGGTCTGTCTAAAATATCTTTAGGAACCAATCAACATGTGCATTGGTCATTCGGTCTCTTGACTCTATTCTCATTTATTTAAGCATTTACTTTAGTTCTAAGCTGGACGGTGTTAATTGATTCGGAAACGCGTCGTGAAAAAAGACTAAACTACCCTTTCCAACGCCCACATTAAAAAAAAGTCTCGTGCTTTATAGTTAGGGAGTCCAAATTAACCTATCCACCTACGCTTAATGCATGACATCACGTAGATTCTCTTTTGAATGTGGTCGGAACAACTTTTTAGCTTATCATTAATTATACTTGGGTCCCCTGATTAACTGCTATTTTAGTTTGTCTTATACTACTAACCATATCTTCTTCTTAAACCTTTAGCCACATTAAATAGTGAAGCCCATTAAAGGCCTGTGGTATCAAGACATCTACTTCTATTTATGCTCCACTATCAAACAATCTCGATATAAAGCAACTCTTTTTGATCAAGAAGAAAGTTTGATACTTTATTGATCCCAAAAACACTACATACTGTATACAATGGAAACAGAGTCTCAAATTCTGAATTATCACTCACTGTTCTTCTCCTCCTTGTTAAAACAATAGACAGGAGCCTGCCACTTCTCGTCCTCTAAGACAGCTCCAACCTCAAATGTCATCACATGAGCTTCCCTCCCTGCAAATCATGTTTCAATATTTTGGTTTAATATGACTGAAAATATCATGTTGACTTAACGAGCTAACTCATAAGTCATATAGTATCATCCAACACTTGTTCACCTGTATAGAAGATCCATTGTACAGGTCTCTTGGTGATAACATCTTCATAATACCATAAGAAGTCAACCTTCTCCCATACGTTGCAGAGAAACTTATTCACACGTCGTTGACCCAAATAGTTTGCTCCATCTAGCCAATTTGGCCTCAGGATTCCAACCTTAAATTTGATAAATAGAGTTAGACAAAATTCAAAGACTATTCTTAGCAACTTTAATATTATAAAGTCCCATTCTGGCTTTATCATTATGACCATCACTCGAGTAAATTGTTTACCTCATATGAAATAGAGTTTATCAATCATAGAAGAAACATAATCATTGCATCACATTGACACAAAAATGTCCATTTCAATCAACAAATATATATATATGACCATTTCTTTAGCAATAAAATCCAAAACACAACAAAACTGTTAAGTCTCTAAAATTGATATCACAATCTAAACTCACAGTGTCTCAAGATTCTTCGTTTTTACTTAAAATTTGATCAAGAGGACACTGACCTCGAAGTGAACAGTGCGGCAAGATTTAGAAGCATCGAGGGTATAGTAAAAAGAGGTGCCATTGTTCCATTCGAGGTCGTAACTTAATTCACCGAGCTGCTTCTGAATGATGTTGAAATTACGGCCATTGATCCAGTCGTACCAAAGGTCCACAACTTCCAGGGATCCAGATTTGTTCATCAACAACAATGCGTGAAACTGCTCAGGCCATGCCGCAGGAACCGGCTCCGTCTCCGGCTTATCACCAGCGGCGGAGATTTGGCCTCCGGCGGAGAGAACGAGGAAGATGACGATTAAAACGTGGATTGGTGCGGAGATCATTATCAATTACTCTGTTTCACTCGGATGACGATAACTCACAGTCACAAACAGTTGTATAACTCTGATATCTATCCACGGTGGAATATTCTTTTTATATAATTACAGATATTATGCATTTGACTATTTGTTCACATTGATATTTAATTTTCTAAAAAGAAAGTTTCTCTCTTGCTATTTTCCCATGAATGTAATGAATAATTTTTTGATGCAAATGTGCACAAGAATAAAATTGGAGAAATTTAATAGTATTTCTCTATAAATTATCATTTGAGATTAAAAATAACTGAACACCATTTTACTAATTCTGAAGAAAAAAAACTAATATATTTGTTTTGTTTACAATTTTTGGTAGTACAAGATAACAAGAACATCAATATCATAAAAGTTACCATAACAGCAAGAAACCACTAACCAACCACTCATGAAAAAAAAATGAAAAAAAAAATAGATAGTTTAATTTTCCTACTCATGTATTTTTGATAACCAATAAATTTAACATTCAATAAAAAGAATACAATTTACCCTTGTTACAAGAAAAAATAAACACATCTACAATTTTTGAGTAAACAATTTGGCAAAGCTTTAAGCGTTCTTGGTCCAGCCAACCAACTAATCTTCTTTAATCTTTCATACTCACTAATACACAAATGAAACGAAAAAAAAACACCAAAGAAACTTCAAGAAACAATTAATAGTTTGATAAACAGCTTTTCTTGCATGAATCCTTAAAAACACAATCCCTTAATCTCTTCTTAAATACCTCCTCAGCAAGTCTCTTCTCCTTCATCTCAATATCCACTCAACACAACAATTTCTCCAATGGCTTCTTTTGCTCTGTTCCTCTTCACTCTCCTTGTCCTTTCAAGTAAGTCTCCTTCCATTTAAACATACATTAACATCCAATGATCAATCAAAGACACTTCACTTAACCATAATCTTGTCTTGTCTTTTTTACAGGTTCTTTTTCCTCTGCAAATGGTCAAAAGAACAACAGAACAGTGTTCTCACTTGCAAGCAGGATTGGCATCAACTACGGAAGACTAGGAAACAATCTCCCTTCTCCTTACCAATCAATCAACCTCATCAAATCCATCAAAGCCGGTCACGTCAAGCTCTACGACGCCGACCCAGAAACCCTAAAGCTTCTCTCTCAAACCAACCTCTACGTCACCATCATGGTCCCTAACAACCAGATCATCTCCATCGGCGCCGATCAAGCCGCCGCAGACAACTGGGTCAACACAAACGTCATCCCTCACTACCCTCAAACCCAAATCCGGTTCGTCCTCGTCGGAAACGAAATCCTCAGCTACAGTTCCGATCAAACCTGGTCGAATCTCGTACCGGCGATGCGTAAAATCGTGACTTCTCTCAGAGCTAAAGGGATCCACAACATCAAAGTCGGGACACCTCTCGCCATGGACATTCTCCGGTCGAGTTTTCCTCCGTCGAGCGGAGCATTCCGGGAAGAAATCGTCTCTCCGGTGATGTTACCGTTGCTGAAGTTTCTCAACGGGACAAACTCTTTCTTCTTCCTTGACGTTTACCCTTACTTCCCTTGGGCTGCCGATCCGGTTAACAACAAATTGGATTTCGCTCTGTTCGAATCGAATTCCACTTATACCGATTCTCAAACCGGTTTGGTTTACACCAATCTCTTGGACCAGATGCTCGATTCGGTTATCTTCGCCATGACCAAGCTCGGTTACCCCGACATCCGTCTCGCCATTTCCGAAACCGGGTGGCCTAACGCCGGTGATATCGAACAAATCGGAGCCAATGTTCTCAACGCAGCGACGTATAACCGGAATTTGATCAAGAAGATGACTGCTAACCCGCCACTCGGTACACCAGCCAGACGCGGTTCACCGATACCGACGTTTTTGTTCTCGTTGTTCAATGAAAACCAGAAACCCGGTTCGGGAACAGAGAGGCATTGGGGGATTTTGAATCCTAACGGTACACAGATATACGAGATCGATTTCAGCGGGACAAGACCGGTTAACAATTTCAGCACGTTGCCTAAACCGAGTAACAATGTTCCGTTCAAAGGAGATGTGTGGTGTGTGGCGGTCGACGGAGCTAGCGAGGAGGAGTTAGGGCAAGCGCTTAACTCTGCTTGCGGGAGAAGCAACGCCACGTGCGCAGCTTTGGCGCCGGGAAGAGAGTGTTATGCGCCGGTTTCGGTTGCTTGGCATGCAAGCTATGCGTTTAGCTCCTACTGGGCTCAGTTCAGGAACCAAAGCTCTCAATGCTACTTCAATGGCTTGGCGCGTGAGACCACCACAAACCCTGGTGAGTTTTTTTCAAAACTCTCTCTTTACTTGCCTCACAAGAGATCTATGGTTTCCTTATAGAACTAGGACATTTCTAATATTACTCATTACGTACTCATATGATTGAAACTAATTTCTACAGGAAATGAGGTTTGCAAATTCCCTAGCGTTACCCTGTGAGACTGCCTCAAGAGTCAAGAGACTCAAGACTAAGGCGTGTGAAGAAGGATCAAAACCTGGATCATTCGTATTAAGTCAATTATAATTCTTGATGATTATTAATTTCCTTTATATTATATTCCAAGTTTTCACCCCTTGTTTCCCATTGTCGAGAAAGATTGAATAATCTATTAAAAAAAAAATTGTTACTGTTATTTTGAAGCCAAGATTGCATTTGCATTTCATCTCTTTTTTATCTATCCAATAACATATGTATGGGTTTGAAGAAAATTATGAGGAAATTACATAAGAAATTATGGGAAGATTATAACTAATTCAAGAACATTTTTTTTTTGATAAAACTAATTCAAGAACATTGCTTGATGATCATCATCACTAGTTTACTATTATCACCAAACTAAAAAATAAATTATACAAGTCAACGTTTTATTAAAAATAAATAATCCTACGCCTTCTTAATGAATACGAGTGGATAGGCGACTAAAACATAAATAAACCTAGAACATATTTAAATATTTAATGGAAGAAGTCTCTAAAGAGTCACTCGCCATTGATATTGCTATGATATATAAAAATATCCTTTTTGGATTACTTAACTTTCTTTTTTGGCACAAACTCTTTTCACTTTCCCAAAATATGATTCAAATGACATACAAATGTTAAAACACTAAACCAAAACATATTCGACTCATCGACTGTTCTTGTACTTGTTTGCCAAAAGAAAACAGTAGTAGAAATTGTTTCTTGTTTTCGTTAGGAAGGAAAGAAAGACCATCTCTCTTGAAGTCCGTGCGTGAGAGAGCACAAACGACCGGAGCCCACCGCTTTATGACAAAACAAAGCCGCAAACATAATAATACTAGTATTATCTTTTTTAACGAAATGGATTATCCACTAGTAGACCACAAACTTTTATTTTTGTTTGTTTGTGTCTTTCAAAACTCCAAATTTGCTCTGTGGTTTTATGTTAATAACTTACTTAATGAAGTTATAGATATAATAAATATTTTGTATAGCCTCTGTTTTGTTTTATCTCTGAAAAGTTTTTTTGAATAATTTTTTATCTCTGAAAGTTGCCATGCTTCTGCAGCGGTGCCAACCAACTGGTCTTTTCTTTTCATTTTAACCTGTGAAAATCGTAATCACGATAACGACATGCTCTCGTCACTTTCTATCTTACTTGCTTCTTCATCTCACTCTCTCTCTCATCTCTGTATGCAAGCAACCTCACCCGAAGACCGATAACCCCTTCTTCTTCTTCATCCTCTGATCCTCTCTCTCTCTCGCTTCAGCCATGGCGTCAACGTCTCTGGTTCCTTCGATTCTCGTTTCTTACTGCTCCCCTGCTCCTGATTTTCGCGATTCCGGGAATTTCAAGGGTTTTTGCCGCCGGATTTCTGTTTCTTCCCGCCGGGGGTTTCGAGTTCACGCAGAGTCCACGGTGAGTTCTTGAATAACTCACTTAATATTTTTTTCTTTCTTCATCTGACCGGTTCCTTTGTTAATAACTACACTTTTTTATCATCCCTTTTGGTTTATAAACATAAATAAAGAAAATTGTAGAAGAAAGTAAAGTGTAATCAAAGGAATATTATCTTCTCAAGGTTGACTTTCTGGCTAGTCAAGTTTAGCTATTGCACTTAAGTGACTAAACCATCCTATAGTTTAGAGTCTTATGAAAGCTGAATTTGCTACTTACTGTTCACCAGTTTATTCCTCTTTTATCAGCAGTTTTTGAAGAGCTTGATCAATAATGTTTTTTTATAGGTTTCTTGTCAAGATTTTTGACGAATTCGGATATTCTATCGTTGTAATTATTATCCGAGTTTTAAACTTTCTTATAGATTCAAGAGAAGGAGCTAAGGCGGTGTTCGCAGTTCTTGGAACGCTCATCATCATTCTCAAAAGATACTACTTTGAGCTCTAGCGAATGGAAGTCTGTTCCTGATATTTGGAGATCATCAGTAGAAAAGTACGGTGACAGAGTCGCGGTGGTTGATCCGTATCATGAGCCACCTTCCACATTCACGTACAAACAAGTGAGATCCTCACACTATCTGTTCTATTATCTTCAAGATCCTCATACTTTTGAAAACAGAGGTTTTCAAGATTTTCATTTTCAAAACATCTTAAAACTGCAGTTGGAACAAGAGATTTTGGACTTTGTCGAAGGTTTACGAGTAGTTGGAGTGAAAGCAGACGAGAAAATTTCTCTTTTCGCTGATAACTCCTGTCGATGGCTTGTTGCTGATCAAGGTAACGCTCGTTGATTATGTTAACATATTTTTTTCTTAACATTTGAGCTTCTCAGTGCATAACTTTACACATTAACCATCTTTGTTATTATCATTTTCTAGATCAAAAGCCTTTCATTTGAAAATTATTTTGTCTATGGCTAAATTTTATACCTAAAGAAGAGAACTTCTTGCTAAGTATTTTTGAAATTCCTCAGTTTTACTGCAATAATTCTAATTTATTTCGTTCGGTTCTTCGATCTTTTTGTGTTTGTTGTTTCTACGCAGGTATTGGTATGTTTTAAAGTACTCTTTACTACTTTATGCTAGGTATAATGGCCACAGGAGCAGTCAATGTTGTTAGAGGATCAAGATCCTCTGTTGAAGAATTATTGCAAATTTATTGTCATTCAGAAAGGTACATTTCAATGTTATTTAGCCCTTAAATCAAGGAGATTCTTGAATTGTAAAGAAAGAAGTCTTTGGTCTTTCAATGGTGATTTTTGTCTTGCAGTGTAGCCCTTGTTGTGGATAATCCTGAGTTTTACAACCGTATTGCTGAGACATTTTTAAAGAAAGCACCTCTAAGATTTGTGATTCTTCTTTGGGGAGACAAATCGTCGTTGGTTACATCCGGTAGGAAGACACCAGTCTACAGTTACAACGATATAAAAAACTTAGGACATGAGAGACGTGCAAAGTTTGGTGCAAGATCTAGTGATGCTGGTAAGCTGTGAATCTACTTTTTTTTTTCTACATAGTGTTTTTTGGCAGAGTGCTAACAAATGAAATGACTTCAGGGAAGTATGAATATGAATCTATCGATCCAGATGATATAGCTACAATTATGTATACCAGTGGAACCACAGGAAATCCAAAAGGTGTTATGCTTACACATCAGAATTTGTTACACCAGGTTCAAGCCAATAAATACTTGTAAATAAAAATGGTGTATTTATGTCATCGTTTATATAAAACCTTTGTTATTTTTGTTTATCTTGAATTACTCTACAGATAAAAAACTTATCCGAGTTTGTGCCTGCTAAAGCTGGAGAAAGATTTCTAAGTATGTTACCATCGTGGCATGCCTATGAACGCGCTTGTGAATACTTCATATTTACATGTGGAGTTGAGCAAAAATATACATCTGTAAGATTCTTAAAGGTATGTTACACAGTGACATTTTCAAGAAGTATCTTAATCTTGAAAATGGGAGATGATGAAACTCTGCACTGAGTCAAGTATTTCATTTAGATATTTTGTTTCTTTGGCTTTGAATTTTTTTGTTTTCTCTTTTGGTATAGGATGATCTCAAGCGGTATCGACCACACTATCTTATTTCAGTTCCTTTAGTATATGAGACACTCTACAGGTACGCTACTTTACAAGTTATAATTTCTTGACAAGATTCAAGTACTTACAGATACTTTAAACCCATTTCTTGCAGCTGAGAGATTTCTAAGTTAGCCTGATTTAGCTAAGCCTAAGATTGCTAAATCATTTATTTCTGCTTTTGAGTGTTGTAGTGGGATTCAAAAGCAAATTTCTTCAAGCTCTGCTATTCGTAAATTTTTGGCACTTACATTGATCAGAATCAGCCTGGCATATATGGAAATGAGAAGAGTGTATGAGGTAAAAAGATTTTTTTTCTAGCTTGTATCTATTTTTGTGGTGCCTGAAAGTTATGATATGGTCTTTGTTCTGTTTTACAGGGTATGTGTCTGACAAAAGAGCAAAAGCCTCCAATGTATATAGTTTCTATGGTGGATTTTTTGTGGGCGAGAGTAGTTGCCTTTGTCCTATGGCCATTTCATATGCTAGCTGAAAAGCTTGTGCACAAAAAAATCCGCTCTTCTATTGGCATATCAAAGGCAAGTATCAGAACAATTCTTGTACCTTACATTGTAAGACTGATTTACAATCTATTTCTTGTTTCCTCCAGGCTGGTGTTAGTGGAGGTGGTAGTTTACCAATGCATGTTGACAAGTTTTTCGAGGTTAGACCGCCAATATTGTTTCTTGAATTCAAACATGTTCGTCTCTGTCTATAGGTAAACAGTTTTTTTTCTTGGTGCAGGCCATTGGTGTGAATGTACAAAATGGGTATGGTTTGACAGAAACCTCACCTGTTGTCTCTGCGAGAAGGCTTAGCTGTAATGTAAGTTTATGACATTTCTGTGATATAGTTTCTTGGAGTATGCTTTAACTAGTTGATATTGTATGTTCTTATGAAGGTTCTTGGTTCAGTTGGGAATCCAATTAAAGATACAGAATTCAAAATTGTAGATCATGAGACTGGTTCTGTTCTCCCACCTGGTTCAAAGGGTATTGTCAAAGTCAGAGGCCCACCGGTTATGAAAGGTTACTATAAGGTGTGATACACACTTTGGAGCTCTTTATTCATTCCTCTGTTTTGGATGAATAATGCTTTAGGGTTTCTGTTTGTTTGCTCAGAATCCGTTGGCCACAAAGCAAGTTATAGATGATGATGGATGGTTAAACACTGGAGATATGGGTTGGATTGCTCCTCGTCACTCAACAGGACGGAGTCGTAGCTGTGGAGGTGTCATCGTTCTTGAAGGCCGTGCCAAAGACACCATTGTACTCTCCACAGGTATTATCACATATTTGTATACTTTGTTGTTGTATCTTTGATAACAGTTTGGAAGTTGTAGGTGAAAACGTGGAACCATTGGAGATTGAAGAAGCGGCAATGAGAAGTAGTTTGATTCAACAAATAGTAGTTATTGGACAGGTATTGTTTTGGAGACTTTGATACTAAGGGACAAATGTTATAGGCTGTTTCACTTATTTATATCGTTTGGATGTGACTATGTTATCAGGATCAACGCCGCCTTGGAGCTATTGTTATCCCAAACAAAGAAGCAGCAGAAGGAGCAGCAACAAGTCAAATATCACCAGTAGATCCTCAAGTCAACAGACTTAGCAAGGAGACACTCACGAGTATGGTCTACGAAGAACTTAGGAAATGGTAATGACTCAACACTACACAATGATTAGTGAATAAAGTTTTCTTGAAAAGCATGGTCCATCTAAAAATAACTTGAAATCCAAGTTTACTCTTAGAGCGTTTGAGATTGAGTATATACTTGATTTGCAAGGAACTCATATTTTCTGTATGGATAAATTGTGATGATTGATGCAGGACATCAGAATGTTCGTTCCAAGTCGGTCCGGTTCTCATCGTGGACGAGCCATTCACGGTACAATTCTTATGGCCATTTTTTGTGTGTCTCTTATTGATTTTTCCCTTCACTGGGACTCAAAAGCTTCAAACTTCATGTGAACGCTCTACGTAAATTATTGCAGATAGACAATGGTTTCATGACGCCGACAATGAAAATAAGAAGAGACAAGGTGGTTGATCAATACAAGGAGGAGATAGATAGACTCTACAAGTAGACTTGGACAATTTTAGAATGCTGATTTTTTAAATATTTTTAGCTTTACTTTGTTAAAGGATTAGCAAAACGCTGGACCGGCTCATGCTTTACTGTCAATATGAACTAATAAATCTTGGACCAGTAATGATAAAAGTGAATATCATAAATCACATCAAATCATGGATCGTTATGGGGTAGTGTTAAAAGCAAAAGAAAGGCTTTTCTGACATAATTATGTATTTATGTTAAATGACTATTGAATAAGCATATATTAGTGGATCAAACCAAAAGATGTATTGGAGAAGTACTGGGATAATTGGAGATCTTGACGCTTTGAGCTATCTAAAGGTCATCCGTCGGCTTGAAAGTTGGAGTTGGCGACAGAAGAACGTGTTTATAGGTATAGAACGTGTTTTCATTGTCTTAGATTAGGTATTGTACATAAATGGTATTATCTTTTATAGAACGTGTTTTCATTTTGTCTTTTTTCTAATATCCTCGAAACAATACTAGTCCAACTTACAGAATGTGTTTTCATTTTGTCATTTTCTAGTGTCCTTGGAACAAATAATAGTTTACTGCTCCAACTTGCAGAAAATATGAGTATAATATATAGTTGCATTATTAAGACATCTATGAGTATAATATACAGTTGCATTACTAAGACAACGAGAGAGAGTGATAGAGAGATGGAAGCAGCGGTGCCAATAGCGGAGAGCAAGAGCAACCATGGCGGAGATTGCTGCAAGAGCGGGCCTGGTTACGCCACGCCTCTCCTCGCCATGTCTGGTCCACGAGAAAAACTCATATATGTCGCTGCAATATACACCGGTAATTTAGTTTGTTATAGATATGTATCTAGGGAAGGTTTAAGATAGTTAAAGATCAAATAAACTCATAGTTTTGGAAACCGGTTTGGTCCAGGAACCGAGCAAGAAAAGCCAGATTACTTAGCGACGGTGGATGTGGATCCGAACTCATCGACATACTCTAGTGTCATCCACAGATTGTCAATGCCTTTTATCGGAGACGAACTTCATCATTCAGGCTGGAACTCGTGCAGCTCTTGCTATAAGGATCCTTCTTGCGAAAGACGTTATCTCATCTTGCCTTCTCTTCTGTAAGAAAACTAAACAAACAAACATTACTCCTCTGTTTTGCTCTGAAAATATATCATGTTTTGTGCTCCTGTCTCACACATGTTTTGGAAAAAAGGTCTGGTCGCATCTACGTGGTTGATACGAAAACAGACCCGAGGGAACCATCTCTGCACAGAGTGGTAGAGCCTGCTGAGGTTTTGGAGAAGACGGGATTAGCTTATCCGCATCAACCACATTGCTTAGCTTCTGGAGACGTTCTTGTGTCTTGTCTTGGGGACAAAGATGGAAACGCAGAAGGCAGTGGGTTTCTCTTACTTGATTCCGAGTTTAACATCAAAGGAAGGTACTTTCTTGGACGGCAAGAATGAACAGCAAAACCTAATCTTTTTGACTAACAGCTCTTTAAATCTCTTAGGTGGGATAAAGAAGGACACAGTCCTTTGTTTGGGTATGATTTTTGGTACCAACCTCGACACCAGACGATGATTAGTTCCTCTTGGGGAGCACCTGCCGCTTTCGCTAAAGGCTTCGATCTCAAAGATGTCTCTGATGGCTTGTATGGAAAGCATCTACATGTCTATAGCTGGCCTGAAGGCGAATTGAAACAGATACTTGACCTTGGTGATACAGGACTTTTACCCTTAGAGGTAAAACCCTAAATCTTGCATTCTCAACTTAAGACTTCTTTCTTCTTTCACAAGAAAACAACGTCTTCCTCTTGATCTGTTTCGTGGTTTCAGGTGAGATTCTTGCATGACCCTACTAAAGCTATTGGATTTGCGGGCTGTGCTTTGTCGAGTACTATAGTAAGATTTTTCAAGAACGAGGATGAAACTTGGAGCCACGAGGTATACACAATGTTTGAATCTTATCTTAATTAGTCGTTTCTTTTTCCTGACAACTTCCTCCATCTTTAAGGTGGCAATATCAGTGAAACCTCTGAGAGTTGAAAACTGGATGCTCCCAGAAATGCCAGGGCTCATCACCGACTTCCTAATATCAATGGACGACCGATTCCTTTACTTTTCTAACTGGCTTCAAGGAGATATTCGTCAGTACAACATTGAGGACCCTGAAAACCCGGTTTTAACCGGTCAACTACACGTAGGCGGGCTAGTCCAAAAGGGAAGCCATGTCTTGGCTTTAGGAGAAGAAGGCGAGACTTTTCAGTTCGATGTCCCTGAGATCAAGGTTCGTTGAACAAATTTTGATCATGTTGCTTGTTATACACGCTATTATAATATAATTATCGTTTTTTTTTTCTGTAGGGTCAGCGAATGAGAGGAGGTCCTCAGATGTTTCAGCTGAGCTTAGACGGGAAGAGATTATACGTGACGAACTCGTTGTTCAGCGTGTGGGACAAACAGTTTTACCCAGAGCTTGTGGAGAAAGGCTCACACATGTTGCAGATCGATGTTGATACAGACAAAGGTGGTCTCTCTATAAACCATGACTTCTTCGTCGACTTTGGGTCCGAACCGGATGGTCCTGCGCTAGCTCACGAGATGAGGTATCCTGGAGGAGACTGTACCTCTGACATTTGGGTTTAGTTTAAGTTTTTTGTTTGTTTTTCCAATAAACAAAAAATTTCTTTGGAAATTGGAGCGAAATTTAATATTTTTTCATGAGTTTGTGTGAATAAAAATATATAATAAATGTTGATAATTCATATATGCAGAATACACTTGTGAGTTGTGATTAATATCTGTTCCACAATTCCATCACCTTCGAAGATGACATTCTCACATTAAAAATGAAAAGTGACATAGACTTAATACATGTAACATGAATCTCTTTGTTTCTCATTATCACATATTAATATGATGACGTACGAATTTAACTAACAAAATTAATTTACTCCATGTTAAGTGAATTAGATCTCCCGTGTAATAGTTGCTTCCCCAACACAACAATAATCAATTTATTATGAATGTAACTATCCAAAACATGGCATCAGTTACCATTTTCTTATGAAATACCGGCGTCACTACCATAGGATTTTTTTTTTAAATTGATTTTCATGTCACTAACAAAAAGAAACTAATATTTTCAGAATTTGCGTACACTATATCTTAGAATTGTATACGGTATATGGTATTTTATACATATTTTTGTATCAAAATAAACCGTACTAAGATTACACAAAGGCGAAACTACATGAGAGGTAGGTGGTTCGGCTGACACCTCTTAAATAATATATTTATTTTATTTTCACTTCAGTAATAGGTGATAAAATTTTGATAGTGGTAAAAAAAATCAATTATGAAATGCTGCATCTTTATCACGTCGTTCGCCTCAACAATGTTGCTTTACTGTTTCATCATCCACAACTCTCAATCTCAAGGTAGAGTCTGATTGTTCATTAGTCTGAAATTGATTTTAATCAGTCTAATAAAATGTTTATTGATTTTAATAATCTAATCGTAGCTATCTCATAGTCTAATAGTCATTGATTTTGATAGATTTGTTGCCTCTCTCACATCAACATGGACAAGTTGGTAACACAGGATTTCACCATCTTCATTTCCCCCAAAAATCCATTCTTTCTTTTTTGGTTTACCAAAATTTTGTGTATTATTATCTTGTATATAGGTTAATAATCTCTTGTTATTGGCAACATAAATTTTTAAGCTGATGATACAATTATGATTTTTTTTTATATATCTTTTGTTATAAGTTTTGAGCAATGATTTGAATCTATCTATTTCTATGCTTTAGTGTGAAGCGAAAAACAGAACGTGTGGGTCAATATAAACAGCTCAGCAAGATGTAGTTGGGTTGTTGAACTTGTTTGGTGGCAATTACACTAACTCCTTAATTATCCTCCTTTACTACCCAAACCCCACACATTAATCATAGTCCAGTTAATAATGACCCTCAAAATTATTAACTTCTTATTTTTGTTTCATACGATTAAATACAATTAAGTTGGACTGTCGGATATATGAGTATGACTATATCTAATACGATTTATTAATAATTATCCTAAATCGCCATTGCTTATTAAAAAATATAGAAAATATTATACTAGTCGTTGGAAAGAAAAACAAAAACATGAATTCTCAAAGGAACCAAGTGTTTGTTGGTGGACCACAAATATTTACTTAGAGATATATTGGAGAGAAACCCAATGAAAGAAAATGTAAAGTGGTTTTGATTTGAATAATTAAATACTTGACGTAACGGTTCAGAGTTTGGACCTATCGATCTTTAAACCGACCGGTTTAACCCCACAAGAACGAGTTAATTGGAAGTTATAACGCAGAGATCAACACCACATCTACCAAAATTTCCACACACCGACATGTCGAGATCTTTAGCTCTTGTTTACTTATCCATACTTTTTCTTCAAACCCATCTCTCAATCTCTGTGGAGGTTCCGGTTTCGTCGGTGAAAGGCGAAATCGACGCAATGCTTAACCGGAACGGCGTAATCAATCAAGAAGGAGAAGAAGAAATTATGCCGTCGGAGATAAACCGGAGAGTAATGATGATGAGGAAACAGTATATAAGCTACGCGACACTAAGGAGAGACATGGTTCCTTGTCAGAAACCAGGCGCTTCGTATTACGCTTGTCGCTCGGGACAGGCTAATTCTTACAGCAGAGGATGTAACATCATTACTAGGTGTGCTAGAGACACTAGCGAATTCAAGAACTGAAAATTTGATGTCGGATCTTGATAATGAGTTTGATAGATTCAGATGCTGTCTCTAAGGATGAGGCAAGTAAAATCTTGTTTTCTTTTGTAATTTTGTTTTACAGTAGAAGTCTTGTATTTGATGATTTGTAATTTGGGATTATTTTGGCTATCAGTGTTCAAATAATTGATATATTTATTGTTAAGAAGTGTTGAGTGGAGTGTGATAGATTGAAGATTGTGGATTTTTTTAGGATAAAGTTTTGAGTGTTTAAAGCTTGTTCATGGGTACCTATAGACTATAGTCTATAGACCAAAATTAGAAGTCTTTTTGGCAAGGTATGTGAAAAAGTTGAGATGAATGTTATTTAGTGCAATGAGAGAGAATTTCAATCTCAATTTGTCCACCATGTTGCAAAACACCTTGTTGTTTCTCTCATTTAGTTAGAAAAGCTGAGTTCGGTCGTTCTTGTAAGTTCAAGAGCCTGATTCTTGGGTTCGCCACTGATAATTTGTGAGCATATAGAGTTTCATCTGAGTTATGGCTTGAGGTTGTGTTGTGTTATTCAGAGAAGGAATCGGTTTGTTAATATGTTTTGGTGATTAAAAAAAAACAATCTTGCTTAATCTTATGCTCTCTGGTTAAAAAAAGAATTGTCAGAGTAGATTCAGTAACTAGAGGCCAATTTGAGGATCTTGGCTTTTCTTATATTCAGCAAATATCTCTGAGTAGTATAAAAGTTGAATGTTTGGATTTGACTATTTTTGGTATTACAATTCAAAGAAGCAAAAGAAGAAAATATTTCCAATAATATGAAGCCAAAACTAGCTTTCACTTACTTTGTTTTCTCACTTATCCGAAATGTAAACAGAACAACTATTGATTAAGCCTAAGAGAAAATGTGTTTTGAAGTAAAGAGTTTTTCTTTTTGGTGAATTGAAGTAAAGAGTTGAGAAAATACGTTGAACAAACTATTAAAGGTCAAACATTTGGATTGACCATCTTAGAATACTTTTTTTTTGGTGAATACCACCATCTTAGAATACAATTCAAAGAAGACAGATTACCAATAATATAAAGCCAAAAATAAGCCTAACAACAGTGTAAAAACAAAAACTAATTTATCTTGAGATGATAATATAATCGAAAGGGAAAGAAAAAGAAGAAGAAAATGCCTCTCAAAAACCAAAATGAACCCCTTATTCATACCAATAATTTGGTCAAGACCAATTATCTTAAATTTCCCCAACCAAACCAGACCCGAACCAACTCAAATAAATTGCCATTTGGAATTATACCCAATAAACGGCTCTTAACCATAAAAACCATACGTGGAACCAAAAAGCTTCAGCCTTTCGTTCTCTCTCAGTACCTGTAGTGAACAGGCTTGTAAGGACCTTCAATGGGTATGCTGACGTAATCAGACTGGTCCTTGGAGAGCTTAGTGAGTCTAGCACCGAGCTTGCCCAAGTGAAGCGCAGCGACCTTCTCATCCAAATGCTTAGGCAAAACATAAACCTTCTTCTCATACTTCCCACTCGCCTTCTCATTCCACAGCTCAAGCTGCGCAATCACCTGGTTAGTGAACGAGCACGACATCACGAAACTCGGGTGACCAGTGGCGCATCCCAAGTTCATCAGACGTCCCTCGGCTAACACAATGATGCCCGTCTTGGTGTCAGGGAACACCCACCTATCGGTCTGCGGCTTGATGGTGATGCGTTTCACACCAGGGAACGTCTCGAGCCCGAGCATGTCGATCTCGTTGTCGAAGTGACCGATGTTGCAGACGATGGCGTTGTTCTTCATCTTCCTCATGTGGTCGACCATGATGATGTCTTTGTTTCCAGTTGTGGTGACGAAGATGTCAGCTTCCGAGACGACGTCCTCGAGTGTCAGCACCTGGAGACCTTCCATGAGAGCCTGGAGAGCACAGATGGGGTCGATCTCAGTCACGATCACACGCGCACCGGCGGTTTTCATCGCCGCAGCACAACCCTTTCCCACGTCACCGTAACCGGCGATAACAGCTACCTTTCCGGCGATCATGACATCAGTTGCTCTCATGAGTCCGTCGGGGAGAGAGTGACGGCATCCATACAAGTTGTCAAACTGCAATCAAGTCAATTATCAGTGACACTAAAACAGAGCAATACACTAAAAAGCAGAGATCTTGCTGGATCAAGAATCAAAAACATAAAATCAAAACTTGTATCTAGAGCTAAGCCCTCTTGACATTAACAATATCATCCACATTTTGGTAGCTGAAACATTGCATTTACCCAAAATGTTCATTTCGTTTTATCCATTTTTCACAAATTGGGAACAAACATTATGTTACAAACGTCAGATCTAATCTTGTAGAGCTAAAATGGGTCACAGGAGCAAGTGAATGAATGTGGATAAGCTCTAAAGGAAGCGATACCTTGCTCTTGGTGACGGAGTCGTTGACGTTAATGGCAGGGAACAAGAGAGCTCCAGTCTCCTGCATCTGGTAAAGCCTCTTGACACCAGTGGTAGTCTCCTCCGAGACACCGACGAGTCTCTCCTTCATCTTGTGGTACTTTTTGGGATCAACCTTAAGCCCGTCTTTGATGATCGACAAAACGATCTGAAACTCGGGATTATCGGTGGAAGTCGGATCTGGGAATTGACCGGTCTTCTCGAAGATCTCCTCGGCTTTAACTCCCTCGTGGATCAAGAGCGTGGCGTCACCACCGTCGTCGACGATGAGATCGGGACCACCTCCGGGACCCCAATCGAGAGCTCTCTCCGTGCACCACCAGTACTCCTGAAGAGTCTCGCCTTTCCAGGCGAACACGGCGGCGGAATCGCGAGCGATCGCGGCGGCGGCGTGGTCCTGGGTGGAGAAGATGTTGCAGGAGCACCACCTGACCTCCGCGCCGAGAGCGGTTAGGGTTTCGATGAGGACGGCGGTTTGGATCGTCATGTGGAGAGATCCGGTGATTCTAGCTCCTTTCAATGGCTGCGAAGGTCCGAATTCGGTGACGCAGGAGACGAGACCGGGCATTTCGACCTCGGCGAGCTCGATCTCGAGACGACCGAAATCGGCCTGAGACATGTCCTTGACCTTGTATTCACGGCCACTAGACGTCTTCTCCACAAGCAACGCCATTGCTAGGGAAATTTGAATTTCTTGTTTTCCGATCTGTGAGAATGTGAGAGAGGGAGGTGGAGTGTGGAAGTGTGCGAGGAGAAACGAAAGGTAGCGAGTGATGTTAAATAGATAAAAGCGGGAGATGAGATGGACGGCTGAGATTTGTTGTGGAGAGTTTGGTGGATCTGGTGAAGGAATTAGACTTTCCATCTTTTTTTAGATTTCCGAAAAAGGTGGCAATTCTGTTTTCGATTTCACTTATGATTAAAAAATAATTATTAATAATATAATGGTCAATTATGTCCCATAAATAAGTATTTTTTTAGAAAAAAAAAATTGTTCACGAAATTTTTTTCACAAATCAATATAAAAATTTATTGTATTTTGTTTTTTTTTTTAATGTTTGAATTTTGCCAATTGATTTTTTATATATTAAACTATTTTGAAAATAATAATAAAATATATTGTTTTGAAAAAATAAAAAATTAATCAATTTCTTAATATGTGTGTGTAATCCTAAAAGGCTTATTAGGAGAACATATAAAATATTTTTTTTCTGTTTTTAGATCAAATATCATTTTAGAATTTTTTTTATTATTTCATATTAAGTATTATTTGATTTAATGTATAAAAATTAAATAAAATTCCTGTTTTGACCAATAAAAATGTGGACTTTTATATGAAAAATTGGTATTGGTGATTTTAGTTTAAACATAATCATTTCTTTGAGAATAAACCAACAAGGTGCAATTTACAATATTTTGTTATTTATCTTTTCAGTCCTGATTAGATTAGAAAAGCGAAACTTTGGCTCTAATTTACTGGATTTTCGTTTTTTTCCAGCAACTATTTAAATATTTAAAAAGAAAAAAATGTTTTTGGAGATGGAAGCTGATCTAATCAGCATTTCCCTTCTAAAATTTAATGAATTTTCTATTTTTGAATCTAAAAATGACGATAAATCTTTAATAGATAATTGTTATTGAATGAAAATATGTACAAATATTAAACTATATGTTGCATGATTAGTTAAATCGCGATAAATATGTCACAATTTGCCAGAAATTGATTTAATTTTTGGTGTAGGGAAAGCATACCAGATATTGTAGTTTGTTAATTCAATGAATACCAATCATAAAATCTTTTCAAAGATTAGTTCGTCAAAAATTGTAAATGATAGAAATATTGTTAAATATAAACTAAATAATTCGTCAAAATTGTTAATTATCGATTCAATATGAGTTATCTTTTTAATAAACTATGTCTCAAAATTTACCGACAAACTAGAAATTCTAATTTTTCTTTAACTCCAAAATCTTGTCAAACGAAAATAATTCAAAAACATGGTTGCATCAATATTTTTATTTTTTTGGAAACGAAGGTTGACAATTTTCAGCATGGATATCATGGTAATCAACGAGCAATGAGCAATAGTTAACTACAGACGCTCAAATTATCATAGTGACTTTGTTGTAGGTGCTGCAAGGTATGTCTCAAAATTTACCGACAAACTAGAAATTCTAATTTTTCTGTAACTCCAAAATCTTGTCAAACGAAAATAATTCAAAAACATGGTTGTATCAATATTTTTATTTTTTGAAAACAAAGGTTGACAATTTTCAGCATGGATATCATGGTAATCAACGAGCAATAAGCAATGAGCAATAATTAATTACAGACGCTCAAATTATCATAGTGACTTTGTTGTAGGTGCTGCAAGGTTTTATGGAACATCCAATGCTTCTGTTCTCTTAGGCTATATCTAATTTTTAAGTAAATAAAAACAAATGCAAAAATGTTTGATCTTTTAAATTAAAAGTATTTGTAATCTCATTTGTTTTTATTTGTTACTGCTATTGGAAAATGGAAATGATAACGTTCTGTGGCGATTATGTGTCATGATATACATTATATATAACATAGACATGATTTCAATATGATATGGTAAAATTTGAGAACACTGAAATTTCTATGAATGATGATATACATTTTAAACTCATAGGATGGAAGTTCAAATGTTTGACAGTTATAATTGAGCCAAAATATTTTGAGCGTCGGTGCCAT